TGACTAATAGCGGGAGTTTCTTTATTTCTCTCTCTTTCTCTCTGTCTCTCTCTCTCCCTTCCTCCCTCCCTCTCTCCCTTCTTCTCGTGGCTCTAGGAATAGAACCCAGAATCTTGTGCTTTCTAGGCAAGTGCTCTACTTCTTGAGCCACACTCCCAGCCCTTTTGTTTTCAGTTTGGTTTTGAGATAGGATCTCGCTGACTGCCCTGGAAAAGTAACTGGGATTACAGCATGCACCACCATGCCCGGCTGTGGCAGCTTTTTGCTGTTCTCATACCTCAGGGACCAGTCTTCCCTTTTTAGTCTTCATTTTCAGAATTTTCTTGACATTCCTTCTCTGAGCTGTTTTTACTCCTACAGCTCGATTCCATCCTGACACTAGGTGCTGGAGTCACGCAGACCCCACGTTGGGTGTCAGGTGCAGGTCTGAGGTCCCCATGCTCCCGCATCAGTGAGGGAAGTCAGGGCTCCCCCAGACCCCTTGAGTCCAACCCCTTGAGTTTGTTAGACTGGCTCACAAAACTCAAGAAGACCCTTTTCCTATTTCCAGTTTATGATGAAGAGCTCACCAGGGCGTGTAACAGGACCTGGAAACGGCGTCACCTGAGCCACAAGTTAACTGACGTGGAAGTCTGGGCCTCTGTCTCCTTGGTGTTGAACCTCCGGGTCAGCCTCCTGTGCAGCTCTGTGCGTGGTGTGCTCATCGCTCAGGAGTGTCCGAGGCCGTGACTCCTCACCTGCCCACCTCCCCGCAAGGCTGACATGAGTGTCACCTTCCCACCTCCCTGCGAGGCTGACATGAGTGTCACCTGCCTGCGTCCCTGCAAGGCTAAAGGCACAGGGGTGAGGGTAGCAGAAGCATCTCACTGTCAGCTTGGACAGTGTCCTGTCCCAGATCCCCAAAGAGGTATCCAAAAGTCTGTCATTGTCCTAAACCTGCAGTCACCATGGATACCAGAAACAGCAGAGCCTCACAGACGGCTCATCCCATGATGAGACTGGAGCAGTCATCTCCTGGGAACCAAATGTCCCCTTCGGCAAGGACTTCCTGACCCACCTGCACCTTCCAGATCCAGAACTAAGTAATGACAGTCTGCTTGATTCTGCAAACCTCTGGCCCCCTCCCCAATTCTTCCTCCACTTAAACGTAACGCCCATGTCAGTGTCCCAAATATGGGCAGAAACGCCACCTCCACCTTCCCCAAATGGCCTCTTTGATTGAGCTCGTGTCCTGACTTCGCACCATTACTTTCTTTGGGGCCAGTCGCCACACTTGACATGCTGGAACCTGCAGAGCTAGGCCTCTGGCCTAGGACTCCGGTGACAGGGACTGTCACATGGAAGAGATGCACGGAGCCGGCCGTGGGGGGCCCCTTCCCTGCTCTGATGCGCCCGTCAACCCAGAAGCTCCCAGTCTGCGAGTCGGGTTTCTAGGAAGAGTTTCTCACCCAGCGAGCCACTGGCCATTGGCGATGAGCTCGCGCTGACGCCTCCGTCCTCCCCCGGGTCAGGGTAGACAAGCAGTCCACACTCTCTCCCAGTGACCAGCCCCTCAAAGAGCCTCCTCCTTGGAACAAAAGGTGCTCCTGTCATTTAGGAAATTTAGGAGCTCGTTGAGAACGAGGGACAGAGACGAAATGTACTTCTCTGACCGAATGCCACCTTCATGCCCTCTGTGAGCTGCACGAAGACCTCATGGCTTACTGTCTTCAACTGGGAGTCATGCCGAGTTCCTGAGCAACGTGGTGGAAATGGCACTTTTATCAAATTAACTCGTTCTGAAAATAAGGTAGGCCTTGACATTTCTCCACATCTTTTCTCTTCCTCGGGAAGCACTGTTCAAGCCCAGCGCCTGTGGCTCACGCCTGTAATCCCAGCTACTCAGAAGGCAGAGATCAGGAGGTTCATGGTTCAAAGCCAGCCAGGACAAATAGTACCCAAGATCTTATCTTGAAAAACCCTTCACACAAAAGGGCTGGTGGAGTGGCTCAAGTGGTAGAGCGCCTGTTCAGTAAGCGTGAAGTCCTGAGTTCAAACCCCAGAACTGCCAAAGAAAGCAGTTTTAAGTTCACCACAGAAGTGAGAGGAAGGTACTAGGAACTGCCATAGCCCTGCCCTATGCTTCTGTTCTCACCACAGTTTCAGAAGGCCCAGAGCCAAGGTCACACCAAGGTCACTCTTGGCATTATACATTTTGTGGGTTTTTTTAGTTTGTTTTTGGGGACTTTGGCAGCACTGGGCTTTGAACTCAGGGCTTCACACTTGCTAGGCAGGCGCTTTACCACTTAAGCCACTCCACCAGCCCCATTTTGTGGGTTTTAAGAAAGGGATGGCATGGATCCACCATTACGTCACAGAGTATTTTCACTGCCCTAAATGTCCTCTGTGCTTTGCCTGGGCCTCATGCTTGCAAAGTGGGCGCTCTACCACTTGAGCCACACCTGCCATCCATTTTGTTCTGGTGATTTTGAAGATGGGGGTCTCACGAACTCTTTGCTCAGGCTGGCCTTGAACCTTGATCCTCCCAGTCTTAGCCTTCTCCAGCCTTTTCAATGGCCATATGGCTGACTGATGCGTCAGTTACGTGCTGCTGTGTAACAAGACGCCTCACAGCTTACTGGCTCCAAACAAGGATGGCTGCTCACAGCTGCGTGGGTCAGGAGCCCGGGTGTGGCTTCGCTGGGTCTTATAGCTCAGCGTCTCCCCGAACTGTGACCAAGTGACCAAGGTGTCTGCTGGTTGCTGACTTTTAGAAAGGCCTGACTGGGCAAGATCTCTTCCGGCTCGTCAGTGTGGTCCACTGGGGGACTCAGTTCCTGCTGGCTACACACTGCTGGCTCCTCTGTCCCTCGCCACGTGGGCCTCTCCAGAGCTCAGTTCACATGTGCACCTTGCTCTGTCAAAGCAAGAACAAGACGGTGTCACCATGTCGGGGGGCTGTTAGGACTCCCCTGAGATCTGAGATCACTTTGGAAACAGTCCCTGCAGACACAGTTAATTAAGGATTGGGGGCCCCTAACCCCAAGACTGCTTCCTTACAAGACGAGTGGACACGGAGGCTGACCCTAAACCATGACCTGCCAGTCACAAGAGCCTCAGCCGGTGGTGGCGCTCACCGGGCATGGAGGTGGCAGCCACTGCACCCCCCGCCCAGCACCCCCTCCCAAGCAGCTGAGTCCCGGAAGTGGCCTTCTGCCACTTTGCCATCCTCCACTGGTTCTAGGCCCAGGGACTGCCACAACACGCCAGTTTCTTCATCCTCCTCGTCAGGACATTTATCCTGTCGCTACTTTTGCACCAGGACAAAGAGGGAGCTGGAGACATTTTTTTCTCCAAAGTGGTTATGGCCCTGCATTCCTGCAACTGATGCCGGCAAGGCTCACGTCTCACGTTCTAAAACTTGGTATGGGTAGATTTAAAAACGTCTGCTAAGCCAAAGGGAGCAGTTTCTTGTTTATTACCCTTATTTGTAGACGTTTTTCAAATACATTATGGGTTAAAAACACCTTACCAACCCTCTAAGTCACCTCCAATCCTGTCGCATGTTTTTGAGCCGGTTTATCTTTAGTCACACACAATTTGTAATCGTCAGATAATTCTTTTGTGCTTTCTAAAACTTTTGTGCCTAAGAATGTTTTCCACGTTTTAATGGCAAAAGGGCATTTTCTTGCGTACAGACTTTTCTGTTTTTGGCGGCACTGGGGTTTGAACTCAGGACCTCACGCTTGCTAGGCGGGCGCTCCACCACTTGAGCCAGTCCTTCACTCTTGAATGATGGTTTGGTTAGGCCAGCAGCTTCCCTCAGCATTTTGAAAATGTTTTTCTGTCTCCTGTCCTTGTGCTGGGACAAGTGACAGGCGCTCCTTCCCCTGAAGGCGTCCATTCTTCCTGCTCCTCAGTCTTTGTGCGTGGTTATAGCTGCGGTCCCCTAAAAGCCCATGTCTTAAAGGTTTAACTCCTGCTTGGTGCTACTGCGAGGTGGCAGCGGTGCCGTGGGCATGACCATCTGGTAGAGCACCTGCTTGGCAAGCTTAAAGCCCCGAGTTCAAACCCCAGTACCAGTACCACCACCCCCAAAAAAAAGTGATTAGCAAAGATGGCAGAAAGTTGGGGGTGTGGGACCCTCTTCTGCCTCCTTCCCCACCATGTGCCACCCAGGCACAACTGGTCATGGACCAAAACTGAGCCAAAACCTTTCCTCTTCACAATTTGGTTTGTGGCAGGTTATGTGTTACCGTAACAGAGAGATGACGAACACGTGTGTCCTGCTTGAACTCAATGTGCCCTTTAAATCCGAAGGCTGTGTCCTGCGATCCACAGGTGGTCTCCTTTCTGGATTCCTAACTGGGCACATTTTTAAGCCTCTTATTCTACCCTCATTTCCCCTCTCAGTGACTCCCTTGTCTTCCAATTTACAAATTCTCTCTTTAGTGGTGTCTGTTTTGTTTCAGTGATGTTCTTTGCCTCTAAAATGTCTCATTTGATGTCTTTTCTAACCTATTCTTTTTAAAACTCTTGACTTACCCTGTGCTTTCATTGCTTTTATCTCTTCGAGCATGCTAAGCCTAGCATCCTGAAGTCCCAGATCTTTTACTGCCAGCTCTTTGTGGTGAACATTCTAGCCTCATGGTGGTTCCATTCCTTTCTTTCTCGGCACCTGGAGGAGGGGAGGGTTTTCTACCCATCACCTCAGTCCCCAGTTATCTTAGGTCAAGTGTTCTGGCACAGGACAAGGAGCTGTCTCCCTAGAGACCTGAAGGGCTTGTCCTGTTGGTCCTCCGGAGTGACCCAACACCCCTGAACCGGCACAGGGGTGCGCTGCACAGTTTACAACACCTGGCTCCAGGGCGTCTTTAAAACTCATTTAACTGCTACTGTGTTCTATAAAATAAAGGCATTTTCTTTATTTAGAAAAACAGACTAAACATTCTAAGACAAAACTCCAAAGAAATGGCAACAAATGATTTCTTAAAAAGAGTTTAATTTCTTTTTTATCTGGAAAAATACAAGTTTAAAATGAAACCAACACTAACATGTCAAGTGTCTTTTTTTAATGGTATTTATTATGCTTACTTGAAATGTGACGATACAGACCTTTATAAATTTCTGAAATTAATGATCCCTACTGCAGATGAAAACAGGTTGGTTGTAACAGTGTCGATCCATTAAGTAGTCCATGTTTGCTCTGTGTGGGAAATATTTTATAGAAACAGTATAAAATCGTAGCAAACATGGTCAAGTTCTAATTCTTCCCTGGGGAGTCCACCTGCAGAGCACACCAGACAGTGCCTTTCCTGCTGGCGTCAATCGTTTCTATAGTGCAGTAGAAATGTCATTTTATGTTTTAATTTGCATTATGCAAAAAAGTGCATATTTAATGAATATGAACCATGTAAATTTGGCCATTGGCTTTGACGTATTTTTAAATTCATAAAAATATTGAGCTTCTAATAAAATAAATAAAACATTTTAATAATTGATATTAATCAACTTCAAAATTTCTTGGTATTTTATTTGCTGTCAATTTGAAACGAGAGGTCCCTTTCAGCAGTGTTCCAGAGTGAAAAGTTGCTAAGGACCGACAGATTGCCAGGAGCCGTTTCAGTGCTCACCATAATGGAGAAATTTGCTGGCGGGAACGCACTGGTCCCCTCTGCAGGCCCACGTTGACAGGCAAACCGTTCTCAGGTGCCTCCCTGGACAGCCTCTGCGCCAACCCTTGCTGGTGGTCACAGAAGGTTCCCGATGCCCTGTGAGCTGTCACAGCCTGCAGATGAGCCCTGGAACTGACGAGCAGGAGCCCTCTCGGGTCCCGTGCTACTCGGGAGGCGGCCGGAGGCTCCGCAGATCCAGCTCATCCAGCCTCTTCCAGTAATTGAAGTTGTCGTCAAGGTGCTGCATCAAGTCAGGCAGGTCCACGAAAGCTGGGGAGAGACAGGAAGGTGACACTGTTCGTGGCTTAGTATACTCGTTTTGTCCTCCTTTTTTCTTTGTGGTGGGGATGGAACCCAGGGCCACATGTGTACTAGGGCAGCTCTACCATGGAGCCACTTGCTCCAGAGGTAAGACTTCTAAGGACAGCATTTTAGGGACAGAGACTGAAGGGAGCCATAATGTCACATAATGCCAGAGGTATCTGGGAGGTAAACCCTGCCCTGGATCAGGGTCCCTGGTGTGGCATTTGTCTGCCCTGCAGCTCCGAGGAGGGTACAGCAATGGGATCCTTTTATTTCCCTGTCATCACCTGAAGGTCAAAGGTGAGTAAACTGCAGCCCCCAGAGCCTTGTCCAAGCCTGGAAGTGCTGGGACAGGGGACGGCCCAGAAATGCAGGTTTTCAGCACTGGCTGTGACTGCAGGTTTGACTTCCTCCTAACAGGCACAAGGATGCCTGTGTCTGGTGTAGGGCATTATGGAGACATGCAGAGAGCCCCCACCCCCCATGGCCCCATGTGCTGGCCTCTTACCATCCCAGGCGTCAAACATTTCCGTGATGAAGTAGTCAATGAAGGAGATCTGGGATTTAGGGATGCTGCAGGTGTTTCTGTCAAAGACTGGCATGACCACGGGCAAGTCCCGCTGCTTCTCCTCGTCCGTCTGCAAGGCAGGGCACATGGGCTCCAGACTCCAGCCCTGGCTTTCACTGCCCAGAGCTCTTCTGCGGAGGGCTGGAGGGTGGAGGCCACCCCGACCGATCCACACACTCTCGACATCTGGAGGCCTCCTTGTGAAGGTGCCCTGAGTGTCTGTGGTCACCCCTCTCTGCTGCACTCCACACCGGGGAGCCCCTCCACCCCCATCACTGAGAGGGGCCTAGGGTTACTCCTCACCCATGGCTGGACCACCTTATTTGTACCTAGCGAGGTGACTGAGTTGAAATAAGATCTCCCAACAAAGAGAAACCAGGATCGTGGAGAGAACTAACAACAATCTCTCCCAAATTTCCAAAAACACTGAGCAGGGGATACTTCTTAGCTTATTCTAGGACAGCAATGTCGCCATAAGAACAAAGCCACACAAAGCTGGGTGCCAGTGCCTCACACCTGTTCAAAGTCAGCCCGGGCAAATAGTTTGTGAGACTCTATCTTGAAAAACCCTTCACAAAAAAGGGCTGACAGAGTGACTCAAGGTGAAAGCCTTGAGTTCAAGCCCCAGTACCACAAAAAAAAAGAAAAAAAAAGCCACACAAAGACAAGAAAAGTACAGTCCAATATTCCTTGTGAATAGATGTGCAAAAGTTCTGAAAGAATTCACTCCTGGAATTCAAGGATGGTTCATCTCAAAATCACCAGTAAAGCATACAGGTGGCTGTGCCACCTGCCCAGCTTCTTTTATCTCAGCAACCGAGAGACTGAGGCAGGAGGATTGAGAGTTTGAGGGCAGCTGGGACTACACAGAAAAACTGTCTCAAACAAGACCACAGGATCTAAAATGATAAATTCTGTAACGTAACAATTACCAGACATAAGCTAACGTGCACCCAAAGTGGCTGCAGCATTTCACACCTGTCACTGACATGAAGCACAGCTGCTTTGGTGGGGTTAACGTTTTCTATTTTAACGTGGTTTTAATTTGAATTTCCCTGATGTATTTACTGGCCACTCACAGTATCTTCTTTTGTGAAAAGTCTATTAAAATATTTACTCTGCTGAGCACAATGGCTCACACCTGTAATCCCAGCTTCACAGGAGGCACAGTTAGGAGGATTGAGGTCTGAGGCTGGCTGCAAGAAAATGCAGGAGACCCTATCTGAAAAATAACTAAAGCAAAGAGGGTCAGGAGCATGGTGGAGCATTGGCCTAGTGAGTGTGAGGTCCTGAGTTCAAGCCCCAGTGCCATGAAAAATGTATTAATTTGCCTATTATCGTGGTGTCATGCTGTCTTCCCTGGGCACTGTCCTTTATCAGAAGTGACTTGTCAGCGTTTTCTGAGCTGTGTTTGAGCATAATTGCTCAACTGTGGCGTGGTCTAATTAATCACGATCTTTCTTAGGGCTCTGCTTTCTGCACTTGAGATCTCTTCCACGACACGAGGCCATTGTGCCGTGTGCCCTTGGCGCTCAGGCCCGTGACTGCCTGTAAACTGGTTCTTCTCCGCAGAAGCTGTCACTCTTTTGTGTGACGTCATCCTGTTCCCACACTTTGTGCAGAAAGCTTCCCTGCTGGCTTCAAATGTCGCTCTCCTGTTCCGGGGATGGCTTATTTTTGTGAAAGCAGTAGCTGCCTCGACTGCTCGAAGTTCTGCAGCCACAGCGTCAGGACCGCAGCGTTTTGTTTCAAGCCCTTCCATTTCAGCACGAAGCCAGAAGTCAATGTCCAAACCAAACCGAAACCAAACCCCTGCGGGCCTGCCACTGCCGGGGGCCGGGTTTAACAGCAGCAGGGCCTCCTCCCTTTATCTGGGCTTCTTTAACCTTCAGCCACGCTTTGTGGTTTTCCCTGTAATGTCTGGCCATCTAATTAAACTTATTTAAGTCATTTTTGCTGCTTCTTGCTAAGATAAACAGCACTGTGGCTTTTAGTTTCACTTTTTTCTGGTCCTGGGGTCTCACTCAGGGCCTCACACTTGCTTGAGCCACACATGCCTTCAGCCCTTCGGCTCTGGTTACTTTGAGATGGGGTCTCACTTTTTGCCCAGGGCTGCTGGCCTGTGATGCTCCTGTTTTACACTTCCTGCAGTGGCTGGGATGACAGGCGTGCGTCACCACGCCCAGCTTCTTCCCACTGAGATGGGATCTCACACACTTTTTTGCCCGGGCTAAGTAACTAGGATTACAAGCATGAACCACGGTCGAGTTTTGTTTTCTGGTTCTTTGCTGGCGTATGTAACGCTTTTATAACACAATCTTTAAGTCAAAATACTTAACTTTAGTAGCTGCTTTGCACCTTCCTCAGGAATTTTTACACAAGCCCCGTCAACACAGCGCTGAGCACAAGTGGAAGCGTGGCTCCCTCGCCTCTCGCCAACCCGAGGGACCGCCACCCGCAGTGTAGCTCTGCTCTGGAGGCTCTTTTCCTCCTGGTTTGAAGGGGTGGTGAATTTTGTTACGCGCGCTCTCCACTGACAGAAGTCAGGGTGGGAAATCACGACATTCTGACTTGGTGACGATGTCCTGTTGTCTGCACAGTGTCCGTCCCTACAGCCCTGGTGCGCTTTGTCAGTCGTGAGCAATGGGGTCAAGAGTGGCCTCACAGGCTGAGTGGGAGCGGGAAGGTCATCACAGGCCCCAGGAACTTGTCCACTCTGCGTGTAAAGCTGCTGGTGACTTTTTACCCTCCCGACGTAAGCGTCACCCCGACAGTCAGGCCCCTTTTGCTTCTGAGCAAGGTCATTTGTGCTTTTTCTCCTGATTAGCTACATTTACCAGTTTTGTTAATCTTGTCAAAGGATCAAACTTTTGGCCTTAATATTTTTATTTAATATTTTTCTATTTCCTCATTTTTTGCTCTTTATTCTTTCTGCTGACTTTGGGTTTACTCTCTTTTCCTAGTGTCTTGAGGTAAAATCAAAGTCACTTTCTTTTTTTCTAGCAAGAAAGTAAAATTATAAATCTTCCTTTAAGCATGGTTCTGCCCCACAATTTCGTTTTCTGGTACTGGGGATTAAACCCATGGCCTCAAGCTTGCTAGACAAGTGCTCTACCACTGGAGGTGTGCCCCCAGCCCCGCTGGTTTTTCTTTGAACTCAGACCATCCTGAGTAGCTGGGATTATAGGCATGTACTACCCAGCCCAGCACTTACCAAAAACTGACACATTTTTACTAGGACTTAATTCTCAGTATTTCCTAATTTATCTTGTTTGGCCCATGGATGACTTAGCAGTATGTGCTTTGATTCCAAGTATTTGTTATTTTGCTGGGTATCTTGCCACTAATTATTTCTGATTTAACTGCACTGTGATCACAGAACCTAGTTCATTCAATCCTTTCCCTTCACTGAAGCTTTGTGTTGAAGCTGTGTGTTTTGCAGATACAGAAGGAAAGTGGCTGATGGTGTCCAACCGTCTGTCTTCACTGACGTTTCAATCTAGTCGTCTATCGGGTGCACGTCCACATGTGGCTATGTCCTCTGCAGAGGTGACCCTCTGCTCACTGCAGAGACTCACCTGGCCCTGTGCTGTGTCTCATGACACCTCCCTAATGTCACTTGGGCTGCTCCATTCTCACGCTGATGACCTATGTCTCCCTCCACCCCATCATTCTGAGCCACCTACCCTACGCTGAAGAGTATGGAGTGGCTTATTGTTTTTGAAGTGTTTTACTATGTAGCCCAAGTTGGCCTGGAGCTCGAGATCTTCCACCTCCCAAGTGCTGGGATTATAGGCGTGCACAACCACCCTTGGCCTGAGCATAGTGAATGCTCTTTTGGTGGGAGAGTTTAGTCCATCAGCACTTCATGGGATGCAATCTGATGACACTGTTATGGTTAATTAGAGTTATCATTTTCCTACGTGTTTTCTGTTTGCTAGTTCCCTTGTTTTTTGGTTCTTCCTTTTTTCCTTTCCTGTCTTGTTTGTATTGTTTTCATGTAGTTTTGGATTCCTTTATACTAGGTTCATTAGTTCTCAAACGACAAGGGTGTTCCAGGGACCAGGCCATGTGTCATTCACCTTTGCCTCTACTGAGGTCACTTAACACTTTTCACTGCTGCTGACGCTTCAGGCCACGTGAGCCCTCACCATCCCTTAGCATTTAGCTGTCCGGCTCTTACAGCTACACACGTTATACACCGTACAACGCAAAGCCAGAAATAGAGGACAAAGAAGCCTTCTGTAGTTACCCAGCCAGACACGGGTCGTACATGTGCCTTTGACTCCTTCTTGAAGGCCCAGGGCGCAGCTGTGATCACTTCCTTCAGCATTTCTTGAACTGTGCACTTACTGGTTGTGAACTGCATTCGCTTTTCCTTGTCTGAGAACGTTTGTTTACCCTGATTCTAGAAGGACACTCTCACTAAACAGAATTCTGGGTTGATGGTTTTCCCTAACGGCCGTTTACACATGGTATTTCAGTGGCTTCTGGCCTTCACAGTTTCTGACTGGAAGTCAGAAAACACGAGAATGATTTTTCTCATAATTTAAGGTTTTTTGTGGTACTGGAGTTTGAATTCAGGACCTTGTGCTGTGGGGCAGGTGCTCTACCACTGAGCCGCACCTCCAGCCCCTCCAGGTTCTTGCTCGTCTTTGGTTTGTGGCTGCTGAACTAGGACGTGCCTGCCTGGGTGAGTCTGTACGCACAGGTCCTCCACCAAATCTACACACATCTTAGCCGACGTATTTTCTTTCTGTCCCCAGAGAGTATGAAGGACAGGTGACACCCTGAGTAAACTGCTCTGAGGAGAAATGTGTCAACTCTGGATCCCACCCCGCAAAAATGTCCTGCAAGAGTGAAGACCACGCATTCTCAGAAAAGGGGAGCAGCGGGGCTCGTGATGGTAAACGGGCCGAACGCGAACGGCTCCTGGAGAGCGGAAGTCCCGGGGCTGTCCCCTCCGAGGCGCCGTCCCTGGGCTTACCTGGGAGAAGTACTCCTCGGAGATGCGGGCGGCCCACTCGAGGCAGTGGTCCAGGGCGCGGCAGGGGTTGGACACATCGGCGCACTTGATCAGCATCCGCTTGATCAGAGTCCGGCTCTCCGGGGTCCTGAGCATGGTGGCGATGGCCTCCTGGTCTTTATTCATTTCCTGGTCCATGAGCAGAGTTCAAAGCAAGCAAAACGGGTCCTCTGGGCCACGCCCTTTCTTACTGGCCTGGCCCCGTTGTGAGCACAAAAGGTTCTGGCCCGGCTCTACAGCCAGGGACAGCCTTTGGGGACACCGAGCCCGGCCTCCCACCTGACCTCCTCCCGAGCCTGGCCTCCCACTGCCCAAAGCGAGGAGTTGGCCTGGTGAGACTCCTGCAGAGCCGGAGAGAGGAGCACTGGCCTCTTCTTTTCGCTCTGCGCCTTTCTCACAGCTGCCTTTCCTCACTTGCACTATTCCGGTAAGAAATCGGCCTGCCTTTATCTTATTTACTAAAAAATAGAGTATGACCTGAAAAAAACTTCTCTGTCCTCACAACAGAGCCATTGTGTCCATGTCTCCTGCTCCTGCAGCCCAGTCCTGTGACACCTGCTTTTGGGGACTGTCAGATGCAGTGACATGCCCCAGCGTTTGGGATGCGCCAAGGACTCGGTCATTCTCTGATCTGCATTCACAGGAGGACCTGGTGGTGAACGTGGAAGGCACCACTGTGACATCTTCCACTCAGAGGTGGAGTGACCCAACCAGACTACCCAGCTGAGCCAGGATGAGAACTGAAGCGCTGCCTTCAGTCCCAGGCTCCTACCCACGGAGCCCCAGCAGTGGAGCCCCAGTCTGGGGCCAATGGCTGCTCTGGAGAATCCAGGGAACAAGAGTCCCAGAGAGAACAAGGCTGCTCAGTCCGAGTGGGCTTCCAAGGGAGCCAGGCTTGGGACGGTCACGTGCAGAAGCAGTGTAAAGGGGCCCTGCCGTCCATCACAGGTAGGCAGGTCTGCTACATTACCAATCTCAGTGACCACAGCTCAGCAGTGCCAACTCGGACACTCACTTCCTGTTATGCTGTCCCTGCTCTGACTCCAGCCTCTCAGAAGTAACACAATACTGACAACAGGGGTGAGAAACAGGACGTCCAGGTGGAGCCAAGGACTCACCTGAGCCTGGGCACGGCCCCAAACAAGATGGAGGAAACCAGGTATGCGGTATCCTTCTGTGTCATGTGCCAGCCAGGCGTGGTGGGCAGGTGAAAGTTCTTGGAAAGGCCGTGAGGTCAGGGGCAGGTGAAAGGTGAGTGGGTTCTCAACACCTTCCACCACTGAGTTACCAGGTGTGTGTGTGGGGACGACAAAGGCCACAGCCAAACACATTGCAGAAGTAAAATGGAGTTGGAATTTAGGAACTCTGACCCTAACCTGGGAGGAGAGCCATCCCTGCGTCTGAGAAATAACTCGGGACGGTGACAGGGTGGATCTGTGGGCCTCACAGAAGAAGGTTCACCAAACACAGGCTCCAGGGTACTGGTCACAGTGACTCCAGCGTAACCAGTAATACTGTGTGCCACGCCCACCTGCCCTCTCTCTGCTGAGAGGTTCATCACCCCACGTGGCAGACAGGGCAGGACACAGAACCAGGCTGGGGACTCAGATTTGCCTGGCCAGAAGTTTAATGTCACCCTTGCCAGGCAGTAGTGGACTCCATGCCTCAAATCCAGAATGAGGGGGCAACAATACTGTCACCTGTAAATCAAATCTGTGTCACCCAAAACTCAACCCCTCCCTTCCTGTGAGGACGGCTGCTGCCACCACAGCCTGTGTCCCTGGGGAGAAGAGAGACCTCAAGGGCTCTGAGTGGCCATAGGATGCTCAGGAAGAAAAGGGACTAGAGATAGCCACGGGGACGCCCTCACAGGGCTCAGGCTGCACGGGTCGGGGGTCCTCTCTGAGTAAGTCCCCCTACCTCATTTTCCTCGAGTGCTGCCAAGGGCTTGGTGACACTGTTGACAAATCTGTTGACATGCTCAAAGTGCTTTGTCATTTCTGTGGCTAAGACCATGTCGATGATACCCTGACGGAGCATGCGGTAGTCGCTCCTGTTTCAGAGAACAAATGAGAAGCTGTGACAGTTACTGAGGGAGAGCTCACAACCTCCTGGAGACGCCGTTTCCAGGGTGCGTGTCTGCTGCAGGTACAGGTGTGACACTTTAAAAGAAGGCAGACATTATGAGGACATCAGAGCAAGGGGAACCTGCACAGAATTTAAGCCAGAAGCTTCTGGGCAAGACTTCTTTCTACCCTGTCACCGCATATTGTCCTTTGACCTCCATCTTCTCTCAGAGGACTCAAGACCTGTGGTTTTAGCGCCACAGATGTGACAGCCAAGTGTGAAGCCAGATCTCTGTGAGACAACCATGGCTAACAGGGCCGTATCTGTGGTTCCAGAGGAAATGATGCGCGTACAAACTAACCTGAAAAACCCCTCTTACATCCACCTCTGACACAGCAGAAGGGTGTTCTGTGAAATCAGGACACCTTTAAAAAAATTCCATGTGTTTCTTAAAGTTCAGCTGGATGTGGTGCCACACACCTGTCATTCCAGCCACACGGCAAAAGTAGGAGGGGCGTGGTTGAGGCTGGCCCAGTTAAAAATGTGAGACCCTGTCTCAAAAACAAAAGCAAAGGGTTGGGGACATGGCTCAAGTTAGCACACACAAGGCCGAATTCAAACCCCAGCACCACAAAAGGAAAAAAATCCAAATGAAAAGTTTTCCTCGACTGATAGGAATTACCAGGCCCTGGGCTAGAGACCAAGGGTGCAGTGATGAACAAAGTCACCTGACACTCCAGACCTTAGAGTTTAAGAATCTGAGTCAGGCATGGTGGCACATGTCTGTAATCTCAGCCCTGGAGGCTGAGGCAGTGAATTTGAGGCCCCTCTTGACTACAATAGCAAGATTCTGTCTCAAAATACAAAAAAAAAAAAAAAAAAAAAAATCCAATCAGACATGAAACAGATAGGATCCAACCCAAGGCCACGTGCGTACCAGGCAAGTGCTGTCACCAGGCTTCGCCCTCGGTCCCAAACAAGTACTTTTTAAACAGCGTGACACGTTTACGGAGGGATTCAGGACTGAGGGAGGGCTTCCTGAGGGGTGACGTGTACAAGGCAAGCACTGCAGGGCGAGGGGACCAGGCAGGTCTGTGAGACCTGAGTCTCCAGGAGCTCATGGCGTCAGCCTTACACTTTGTCTTCTTGAAGTGCCACAAAAAAGAACTGAGCCTTGAAAACATTACATTATGGTGACGGCCACCAAAGCCACTTCCACTTACACGAGGCGTCCAGAGCGGCGTGGACGCAGAGCGGCGGCGTGGCACTGGAAGGGCTGGGGAGGGTTCTGTGGGGCAGCGACCCCCCGGGGTCCCTCACCTCTCCATGTTCTTGAAGATGTTACACTCGTCTCTGGCGGTCAGCTGGAAGGCCAAGGCCGCGTGGTGGCTCTCCAGCACGGCGATGTCGTTGTACAGAATGGCCAGCTCGCTGCCCGCGTTGCACAGGAAGGAGTTGGTTCTCCCGGGGTGATCCACATCGTGAATGGTGGCTGCGATAAGGGCGGCCACCTCATCCATGGGATCTAAGGTCTCCTGAGGAGGAGGGAGCTGCTAAACCCGGAGCCGGCACACAGCGCTCTCGGCCCTGCTGCTCCAAGGAAGAGCGCCCCAGACTTCCCAGACGCACGCTGTGGGAGCAAGCCCAGCTGTCTCTGATCTGCGCGCAGGGCACATGCTCTGACCCCAGGTGACCCTGGCTTCCACCAGACCATGACAAAGGGTACTTCACCTGAGTCTGACTCACACCAACATAACCAGTACTGAGAAATAACTTTTTTTTTGGTGGGGAGTGGGAGGTACTGGGGCTTGAACTTGGGGCCTTCACCTTGAGCCACTCCACCAGCCCTTTTTTTTGTGAAGGGTTTTTTGAGATAGGGGCTTGTGAACGATGTGCCCAGGCTGGCTTCAAACCTCAATCCTCCTGATCTCTGCCTCTTGAGTAGCTAGGCTTACAGGCGTGAGCCACCAGTGCCCTGTGTGAGAAATAACTTTTAAAGAAATGCATCACTTAAATTCATTGGGGATTGGTTATCAGGCTGATGTCTGAAGTTTCCCATCTGATTCAAGGCTCTCAAAAGGTAGGAGAACTGGAATTTGAACTCAGGGCTTTGCACTTGCAAAGCGGGTGCTCTACTGCTTGAACTTCACCTCAAATCCACTTTGCAGTGATTGTTTTGGAGATGAGGTCTTGAGAACCATGTGCCTGGGCTGGCCTCAAACCCTGATCCTCATGATCTCAGCCTTCCAAGTGGCTAGGTAGGATTAAAGGCCAAAGAACTCACACATCTATCTGTCAAGAACCAGGTTTTAAAGAAACTGCTAATTTAAAATTATTTCTACGGTACTGACCTATTTAGGTTTTCTACTTCTTTTTTGAAGTAGGGTCTTGCTATGTGACATGGCTTCCCAAGTGCTGGCATTACAGGAATGTCTCACCACACACGGCTGGGTTCCTACTCCTATCAAGTTGTTTGAAAGCTTCCAATTCAATACAGATGTGTACAGTCCTTTCCATTTCAAATTCTTGTTTCTGTGTTTATTTCTCAATTAATTTTGAAATCTTGGTGACTTAAAGAACGATTTTCGATTATCATTTGCTTCCCGTGTTTTCTTTTCTTCTTTAAGAAACGAGAGAACTTAAAACTCATACCTTTAACTGTATCGTTGGCTAGATTCTCTCATTTTTGGTCTTATTTGTTCATCTAAAAATTATTCAAAAGGTTTTCTCTCTTGGAGTGGTTGACAGCTTTTATTTTAACCCTTAGATGTAAAATTCTACTTCTGTTGTGGTTAGCAAATATAACCTATAATTGAGCACCAGTGGCTCACCACCGTACTCCCAGCGACTCAGGAGGCAGAGAGCAGGAGGACTGAGGTTCAAAGAAATCCCGGGCAAATAGTTCTTGAGACCTGTCTTGAAACACCCTTCACAAAAAAGGGATCAGAAACGGTTAGTACTCCGTCTCTGCTCCCAGTTTTCGCCTAGGCACATGGGAATTCTGCAGCATTCTTCCTTCGACAGTCCACTGCTCACGTGCACTGGGTCAGCTAGGGAGGCAGGAGAAACGCCCACCGGATCTCCGGGGTCCACCTGCGTGGACATGTTCACCGTGGGGATACGCGGTGAGAAGGCAACTTGACTCCCAGGAAGCCTGCTGCCCAGGCCTGTGCCCCGTCCCACGTGGCTCGAGCACCAGCCCGCAAGGATGAGGCCTCAAGTTCAAATCCCAGTGCCAAATATGTTTGTGTATATATATATATATATATATATATACACACAGCCTACAAGCTCCTGCAGTTTATCAAGACACCAAGTCCTAGTATAACATCACATTTGGAAGTGCTCTATAGACAAGTGAAATTCAATAATCAATTCAATACTTTTAACTTTAAGTGGGTGTTACTGTACAGTATGGAAATGTTATTTTGATAAAAGCTTTAAATATCGTTTTAAGCTAGCTCTCTGAATTTGCACACTCCGACACAGCAGCTCACAAGCAACAGACCACAGTGAAACCTGGGTGGCCTATACTGTGCCACACAGACATCCCCCCTTGCACTTATCTTTGTCCTCCCCCTAGACTCATCCCACCTACTGTACTGGTATTCTTTGAAAAACCAAACACAACAGAGCCAGGTTCAGGTAGGCTCTGGGGTAAAATGCTTGCCTAGTATGGCTGAGGCCGAGGGTTCAACACATCAACCCCCAAGAGTAGAAGAACTAGAAGGGACAACCAAAAGACCCACCACTGGGAGGCCTGCCCTGCAGGGAGAGGGCAGACGCAGGCGCAAGCCCTCCCTGTGCCCAAGGCATCCCAGTCCACTACACAGGACGAAATGCAACCAGGTCTGTGCCCTGCTCCTGTGTGGCTGTCCTGGGCAGAAGCTTCAGACGCCGACGTGGCTCTGTGTCTAGGGCACAAGGAGAGGGGCATGAAAAGTGGTGCGGGCCCTTACTGTGACAGCAGGGGATGGGGACCAGAAAGTAACAAGGCCAACTCCAGCTTTCAACAGGGAGTCCGGTTGGATGACAGGACTCTGGACTCCATAGACAACTCCAAATGGGAGCAGTGCTGGGGCCAAGATGATGAACTTGGGCTGAGACCCCCACTTTAGAAAGAGGCAGTGACAAGCGACTTGGCTGAAGTGCCTGTAGGTTCCAAGTGAGGCCCCCAGAAGAACAGCCCTGCCTTGCGTTTGCTGGCTTCTCCCCAGGGACCAAATCCGCTTCTTGCACTCCACGGAATGGCTATGGCAAGGCTGAGAATCAACACAGCTACTCCTCCCTGCAGTGTGGTGGCTACCGCTGATGGTCACCTGGGTGTCTGTCACTGGGAGGTACCATCACTGGACTCTCCCTCCGCTCTTCACCGCTGGGCGCGAACAGGGCTCACCTTTATCCTCTCCCTGGAGAGGAAGTACGCAGTGGCGTGGAGCACGTCAGCAGAATGCGTGGAGTTGTGGTAGGGGTTGGAGGGATGGTAACTGGCTTCGATAACCTGCAGCCAGGACCTCATTGTCGACTCTGAGCAGTTTAAGAATTCACAGATCCCAAAGCGAGCAAACGTTTTGAGAGCGAGATAAACCAGAGGCCTACGGAGAGAATCACAGGACTGAAACAAAGCAAAGCAATGGCAGGGCGCCCTGAAGGTCAGAGCCTGTAACAAGCAAGACCACGCCGTGTAGCCACAGGGCCACAGGACCTGGCCGTGCCACCCTCCTGCATAGCCATGGCACAAGCCCTGGGGGAGCCCAGGGCTGCTCCTGGTGCTGTCCCCTTTGGGGCGCCCTGCCCTCGCTGATTCTGATTCCTCAACAGTATCCCTTTGCCAGGCTTGACTTGTTCCCTGTGGAACCCATCTTCTGTTTGGGCTTCCTGGACCCATGTGGTTGGTCCCACGTCAGGCAAGTGACCTCCACAATGGGGAGGCAGGTGTTACAGTCTGAAGGTCCCCTGAGAAGTCACTTGGACCCACCATCTGCCTTTGCCTTGCTGAGGTAGTGCCCAGAGGTGACCACAGGCCTCTGGCCTTAGCCCGGTCCATGTGGATTACGTCCCTAGGGCATAAACTTGGGTGCTGGGTGCCAGGGGAGCCCTTGTCCACTCTGCAGGACCCACAGAGTCCTTGTCCACTCTGCAGTGTCAAAAGAGGTAGAATGTGTGAGCTCATGGTGAGTACAGCGGGGGCTCAGTGGTGACAGCCCAGCAAAGCACACCTTTCCCGAGACCCTGTGGGTGCCCATCCTGTGTGCCAAGCCACCTCAATTAACAGCTCTTCCCCAGCAAGGCTCTGAGCTGAAGCAAAATCCTGCTCCCACTCTGTGAGTGAACCCAGATGAGGACGGTGGGGTTTTTTCAGTGTCCTTGCACCTGTCGCCAACACAACAACCAAGATCTGTGGGCAGTTCTTATCCAATGTGTGTCTCCAACACACTTGGGTTCTAGGCCCTGAGAGGCTCTCTGCTCTTACCTCAGTGTGTGACCGACAGGAGATGTTAGTGTCCTACTCCACAGAAAATCCTTTGCCGTTTGGGAAATCCCTGGCTCAGTTTCACTTCCACAAACCTGCCCTCTCCGTCATGGCCAGGCAAATTCTGCCTCGGGACCAGTGGCTCAGAGCCACCCCCTCCGCACCTCCCTGCTGCACAGTCCACACTCCTAGGGCGGCCTCTGCCACGTTGACCCGGGGGTCCAGCGCTCCATCTGGACTCACCTCTTGTGGGTGGCAGCCTCCAGTTCAAAAATATCAAAGTCCCAGTGTTCTTCGTTTTCCATGGCCTGTGCTATCCGGGAGGGGACGTCACGAAGGGAGATGACACTGCTTGAAACCCCGTGAAGGTCTGCAAGGTGACGTCACGTGAAGACAACAATCAATAGGCTTTTTAGCGCAAGTGCTCACAGGGAGGACAAGCAGTACGCCAGGGGATGGCTGCTTTGTTTTTGAGACTGTGATATGCCAAGCGACTTCTTATTGATGGGGAAAACTATTTTCATCATTTAACCTTGACTCCAGTATTAGTATTAAAAAAATTAGAAACAAAAAACTTACTTTTTGTTCCAAGAACGTGTTCATTCCCTGATAATCTTCGCAAACCATCCTGATAAAAACCAAGGAGACAAGGAAAAGTAAAGTCACAGCTGTTCCTTCCTCCTCCAGGGCAGCTGTCCCTGTCAGCCATGGCAAGGCTGCTCGGACCCAGCAGGTCTGCCCTGGGACAACCACTGTGGCGGAACCCCAGAACTCAGTCACTTGCTAGGGAGCTTGTCATTCTGATGCTGGGCTGGCCAGGCTGGAACCTAGGCTCAGGTGGGGTGGACACCAGAGAGGTGACCTCAAGAGACGCCCAGCATTCCTGCCTCACTCCAGGCCTGCTTGGTGACTTAGGGACAACTCCTTTTGCCCTCAGTCCTTCCCCATCATTTTCTTGCCACCTCCTCACCAAGTTTCCTTTTTCACCTTTTAAGTGACCTTGGTTTCCCAGGATAGCTCTCCTGGGTGCCTCCCCTCTGCTCCAGGGCACCCCACCCTCACTGTGCTCACCCCAGCCTACAGATGGAGGTAGCTCTGTCCCAGTGAGCGGTCATCACTGAGAACCTTTCCACCTTCTGGATCACTGCCTAGAACCTGATTTTTATGACACCAAGGTTACTTGAGAGAGGACGACCGAGAGGGAGGTGAATTTTATTTCTGACCAAGAGCATAGCTGAGCGTGCACTGAGGTGACCTGTGCTCCCAGCTTGGGTCTAGATGGTCCACATGGCTGTAGGTGGCACCTGGGACTCTGCAGGAGACATGTAATGACATATTCCTAAGTGCTAACTTCCTAAGAAGTCACCCCACGTGAGGGGATGTTCTGGAGGTGACACCGCAACGCCCCTGATGACTTTTTAAACACATGTCAAAGGACAAGATCTTCCTGTTTTTACTGTGGTACGTAACGTTCAGTGTAAGTTTTTTTCCCGGTGGCAGGGATGGAACCTAGGACCTGTGCACGGTGGGCAAGTGTTCTACCACTCACTACATTCCCAGCTCCAGTGTGTAACATTCATTTTTTTTTTTCTGCCCAAATTTTAAAAATCTTTTTCCTTTTCAGCACTGGGCACTTACTAGGCAGTGCTCTACCACTTGAGCCCCACCCACAGCCTTTTTTGCTTCAGTTGTTTTGAATAGGGCCTCAGTTTATTTTATACCCACGGGCTGACCTAGACCACAGTCGTTTGTGCTTCCAGCCTAGCTGGTATCACAGACACCAAGGTATGCCGCCATGACTAGCTTTTATTTGTTGAGATAGGGGATCTTTTTGCCTGGATTGGCCTCCAACCATGATCCTCCCGATCTCTACCTCTGAGTACCTAGGAGCATAGGCTTGAGCCACAATGCCTGGCTTTTGTTTTGAGACAGGGTCTCCCTGTGTAGTCCAGGCTGGCCTCAAACTCATGATCCACCTGCCCCAGCCTCCCTAGTGCTGGGTTTATGGGTGTGAGCCACTGCCTCTGGCTTTTCAAATCTTGGGGACAACTAAAAAGAATATTTAAATAAATGAATCATAAAACTCCAGGTGGCACTGGGGCAGTGTGTCAGCAGACCATCCAGAACACAGCACCCTCTCTGCTCCAAGCTGTTTCCGTGGGAGGGGGAACAGCAGAGTCCAGGCGACAGAGGGGTTCGGCCTAGACCGCGCCCTCCGTGGGATGCCCTGCTGGCCTCTGTGGCAGGCTCCCGCCAGCCGCCTGGTCACACGAACTTACGGACACCAAACCCCCAACCAGGTCCGTGGCGTGAGGATCTTCCTCCTTGGCACTGAACTGCGGTGAGTACAGCTCGGTGGTCCTCAGGATCTCCAGCACGCGGTCCAGGGCTTTGGTCACAGGCATGGGACTGCTCTCCTGGGCAGCATTGATGATGTTGATCACCTAATGACAGACAGCAGGAGGGCCAGTGTTGATTCTGCCTCCTTGCTGACTCAGATACAGCGTGCTGGCCACACCATCCCCTCAGAGAGGGAGCGCCACGCGGTTTCCTGCTGCAGGAATCCTGCTGCTTGCCAGGAAACCACCCGCTGCGAGCACAAGGGCTGGCATGTCAGGGGCACCGACCACCAACCACGTCACCTTGGTGATGGGTGCCTCGATGGTCATAGAATGTATCCTGGCCAAGGAGGAGTGTCGCCTCTGGCTGGAAGCTGTGGAGGAAGGAGGAGGAGTGAGAGTGTGAAGCCCTGGACACCTGCGGTGACACAGGGGCACCAGATCCCCCTCCCCCGGCCTCAGTGTGCTGGGCGCTTCCTTTGCATCCTCACAAGCCCTAGCCAACTCTGCTTCTTTCCGTTCCAGGAGCTGGGATGCACTGTGTCCCCATGGACTGAACTTCTGATGTCACAGCCCACAGCAAATCAAGGAGGAACAGCCTCTTTTTTGTGTGCATAACAATAAAGGCCTTCTGGTTATTCTGAGCAAAAAATGTCCTGGAAGACAATGCCACAGGCTCTTTGTTTCATACACAACAGGACCAAAAAATCCAACCCACCATCAACTGAAATACCCAGATTTCTAGTCAGATTTTTCAGGGTCCCCTCTGGGGCCTTTCCACCATACCTGGCTCATCAAGTACCTTAAGTGAGGCAGCCACTCTAAGGTGGTAAAGTTTTTGTTGCTTCTGCCAAGACCTGGTTCTTGTGAGGTAGGTCTGAGGAATGTATGGACAGAATATTCACAGAGACCTGTGGCTCTATGAATGCCCCCATCAGGCCAAACGCTACTTGCCACAGACCTTACAGGATCAGACACGGTTCCGTGGCCTAGGTGTCAGCCTCGGTTACCAGTGAAGAAACTGAGGCCTGAAGAGATGTACCATCCAAGATTAAAATGCTGTAAACTTGGGGACAACCAAACTTCTAATTCTGACTAGCACATGGCTGCCCGCTATTCATCCTATACAGCAAAATCACTGAGACAAAGCGAGTCACTATTTCATCACTGGCTAAAAGCACTTGTTCTCATTTGAAAATGCAAACAAAGTGGTTCACGTCTGCAACCCCAGCTATGTGGGAGGTGGGGATCACAGTGCAAGGCCAGGGGCAAAAGCGAAAGACCCTATCTAAAAATAAGCTAAAGCAAAAAGGGCTGGGTGTATAGCAGAGTGCCTGCCTGGCAAGTGCAGGGCCCTGGGTTCAAATCCCAGTACTGTCCACAAAAACAAAAGAACACAGAAACTTGAATAAATGGCACTACAGTGTATGTTCATGGTTTGAAAGACTCGGTATTATTGAGATTTCCAACTTCCCGCATGACTGGTTCTGTCCTCCAGAAGTGGCTTGTGCGAAAACACAGAAGCTTGATTTTTAATAGTCTCCAAGTGGAAACAACACAGATGTCCAGCACTGCGTGAATGGTTAGGCCAACTGTGGCACACTCAGAGAAGGGGAAACCACTGACAGGCTCAGCAACTGGGCGAATGTCACAAACATGATAAATGAGGGAAAGAAGGCTGGCCCAAGAGCACAGGTGAGGAGGAAAAGTTAATCTGCGTACCCCGTCTTGTACGTGAGTGGATCCTCTGTATATACTGGGATGTTCACGTGAGTGCACAGAATTGTCAAAACTCACTGAACCATCTGCATTTTATTGTAAGTAAATTGTTGCTTTAAAAAATGATTTTAAACACAGGGGTGGAGGAGAGGCTCAAGAGCACCTGCCTAGCAAGCACCAAGGCCCTGAGTTCAAACCCAGTACCACAAAAAATAAAAGAAAGTGTTTATTAAAAACACAGAAAGACCAACAGCAGTTACAGCAGTGGCAACTGTTATGGGTGGGTAGAAATGGCCTCCCCACTGCTTTGCACTGCCCCGACTGCAGAGGATCATGGGAATGGAGCAATGGCCACAATGAAGGTGACAATGGCAGCTCATGGCCGCTGGGCCTATCCAGGCACAGCTCTCATTCGACCCTCACACTCTTCATGGACAGCACAGTTATCTCTGTTTCACAGGATGGGCAACACAGGCATAGAAGTCCACTCTCAAGGTTGGGCAGGGAGTGGGGGAAGCTGGACTTGAACCAAGGTCATCCTGACTCCAGAGCCCACCCTCGTCCCTACGAGACTATGGTGTTTCTCTGGGCCATGACCCTGCCCTTGAAGCAGGGGTGGAATCCATAGTCGTCTGGTGCAAGGAACACGTGGCCTGGCGTTTGAGCCTTACAAAAGTCTGTGGGGTGCAAGGGCAGACAAGATCTCAGCTGCGGTGTCCTGAAAGGTGCCGAGTAAGTGACAACCAGCTGCCTGCTCACCTTTGGGCCTGAGATGTACACAGCATGGTGTAACACTTGCCTCCAGCTCTGCCGGCAACTTTGATGACACTAAGGAGGTCACACACCCACATGGGCTTTTTAAAAATTCTGTTTCCATTAGAATTTAAGCAATATTTCCTAAAGAGCCTCACGGTCCCCACACTGAGCAAATCCCTTTGTCAAAAAGTAAGCGCTGTGGCAAGCAGGGACAGCAGGCCAGCTGAACACAGGTGCAGTCAGGGTCACTGTTTAGACAGCCGAGGCAAACTTCCTCACTCCACAGAGGTTCAGCACAGAGCCCACTGGCACGAGCTGGGGAAGGGGACATGGTCCCTAGACAGTCCTTGCCTCTCCAGGAATGCCCGATGCATACTGCCAGGAGGTGACACTGCCAGGCAGGACAGGACCTGTGGCCCTATTTTCTCCTCCAGTCTTTGTCACTCACCTTCACTTGTTTGAGAGGCAATAGCTCTGACGTCCAGCGAGCCTTTCCTCCTGTCTTTGTACTTGCTTGTCTGATTATCTGCAGAGACAATGAAATCCGGAGTCACCTCCTCCCGGAGATGTTAACAAGTCGCAAAGGCAATCGAGCTAATTTTTTAGTCCTGGGGATCAAATCCAGAGGGCTTGTTCCGGGGTGTTGGCAAACTGTGAGGCATCCTCCATGGTGCAGGCCGTGCGGAGGGCTGTGTGCACCAGGGCCTCGGCCTCCTACAGCACCAGCAGTGTCTGGCCCGCTCTTCCCAGCAAGGCTCACTTTTTGCAGGTCTCTCTGGAGACCTTGGGGATATCAGCAGTGGTCCCAGCCATGAGAATACCTGTACAGCTTCTCCACTCCTCATCCTTGCCACATTGTTCCTGTCCAGCACTGGCCGCTTACTGTCCTCACCCCAGCTTGAACGCAGGTTTCTTCCAGGCAGGCTGCACACATGGTGGCTGTGCCCTGACTTTCGGTCGAGCTAATGAGTTTTACGTCCTGTTCCCCAGCACCCATCCCTGAAAGGGCTATCATCACCAGAGCCTTTCTTCGTGCTTGGTCTTCCTGCCTCTTCAGGAGAGCTGGCCGAGTTTGCCTGACTCCAAATGCCAACAGACATCTCCACTGGAAGGTTCCAGGTATGTCAGATGAAATGAGATCCAATCTGAGCTCATCGTCTCTTGGTTTGAACCTGATCTCTCTCAGATCTTATCTTACGTGTACTGTGTTCATCAGTGTCACCTAGCAGCCAGGCTGGAAGTCCTGGTGTCACCCCCACTCTTCTCCCTCCCTCCCTCCCTTCTTCACAGTTCCCCACGGGGTTCCTCGATCCAGTCCCTCCAGGGCTCTTCCTAACACCTGGGCCCCTTCACTTGCCCAGTTGTAAAATCTCTCTCAACCTTCCTCTGCTGGCAGGATGACTCCCAACTGGCCTGCCTCCTCACCTGCCCTGATCCATGCTGTGTGCTGCTCCTCCACCTTGTCCTCTGCTGACCCTTTCTCTTCTAGACACCTGCCTAGCCCCATCATTGCTGCAAGGGTCCCCAGCTTCCCCAGGGTACTATGACGTACAGCATCTTCAGGTTATTTCCTTCTTCCCTCAGACATGAGCTCTATGTTCATTTCCATCCCTAAAGCCAGAATGGTCACGGTTTCCTGGTGGACCATTGTCACAACCACCATCTGTTGTCTGCAGTGAGATACAGACCGAAGTGAGTTTCAGTCAGGAGCTCCTGGGGCTGGTATAAGTGCAGGTTCAGGAGGCCAGTAGGGCAGGATGGAGAAGTCATGGGGCTTCTGCTTGGTTGGTTATTGGTTGTTTTAATTCTTTATAAAAGCCCTGTGAAGTGGGCATGGCTGTTATTTGCACTCCTTTACTACAGAAGAAGAAAGGGAGGCTCAGAAAAGCTAAATGGTAGCCTAAAAGTGGGCAGCCAGAGGATGACAGAGCGGGGCGTGGAGGCACAGTCAGTGATGCCTCCTCACTCTACAGCTGCACTGGTGCCGCACCACTGCACTCACTCAGGACCCGTGCCCACCCCTGAGCACCCACCACCCCAGGCATGCCCCTTGGCAGTATAACCAGCGTGTGCCTGAAGGGCTCAATGGCTGTTTAGCCTGGGGGCGGGGCAGGTAGAGCATTACAGGCCATGACCAGCCAAGGTCCTCAGTGACACATAGCAGACACCAGTTCTGCAGCAGAAACAGCTTACTGGAAGGAAACAGGGCAGCTGATAGCTTGGACAAGAAGGCTCGAGAGCCCATCTAGGAAAGGGTGGGACCCAATGGGATGGGCAGCATCCTCACCACCCTCGGCATGCCACAGGAGCAGCACAGCTGGAGCCACTGCTGTCACCACTTAGTAATGGGCACTGCTGGCTCTGGCAAGCTCAGGTAGAGGGTGGTGCTGTTGCCACCATGGGCAGGATGGCTTCACTTGCTGCAGTGAGACTCCAGAGAAATCTCTCATTTGACTGGCCAGGTCACCTGCTGGTCACCTGCTGCTCCACTGCTGCCTGGGTGTGGAGTAAGGGAGCCTCCAGTCACCTTCCTTACTCCCTGCAGCTCCCCTCCATCCTTGTGCCATCTGGCCTTGACTACTCTTCTCAGTTCCCTCCTCTGCGGCAGGTGGTCTCCGGGAAGCTGCCTCTGTCCCCCACTCCTCTTCCTGCCATTCTCCTCCATGGTTCCCCAGGTTTCTTCTCTCCTGTCCCACCTGGGGCTCCACCTCATCAGTTCTACCTGCCACCACTTCAAAGCTGTGTCTTTGCAGAGCGAAGCCTGATTGCTTTGCGGTGCCTGTAAGACCTGCCTTAGCATGTGCACCAGAGCCTCAAGTCACCATTCTAGGTTCAAGATTCAGCTCTGCACTTCCTGCCTCAATGTCCTTGGCAAATGATTTAGCCTGTCAGTTTTCTTGTCTGGAGAAAGGGAACGTCACCTATAAAATGCCTGCCTCCTTGGGCTACTCCAAGGGCTGTCAGATAAAGTATACGCAAAGCACCTGGCACAGTACCTTGTCCCAGCAATTGTTCAGAACAATGTTGCAAATGCTGCTGGAAGTGCCAGGACTGCCCTGGCACTGTGGAAAACATCACTAACCGTGCGGAGGGCGGAAGACCCAGTCCTCTCCCGGGAAGCGCTGGCAGCTAATACACAACCCCAGGGCACGGTGGGTGACATAAAGCAGAGAGCTCTGCACCGTCAGTCCATCCCCTAGTCTGCAAAGGCTGGAGCAGGAAGCAGCTTGTGGAGGCCATGTGTGTGAAACAAGGCAACACCAAGCCAGGGAGAAGCCCATGCAGGAACACAGATGGTGTCCAGGGTGCGGTTAGAAATAGGAGACAGGCAAGTCTGAGCGGCCCAGCTACTGCCCTGGAAGCTGCAGGTGTCAAGAGGTCCCTGTTAATTATTGTGGTGTGGCACTCAACTCTAACAGTTGAAGCACAGGTCAGGCCATAAAACCACATGCCACCTGACCCACCCTCACCTGGGTTCTAGGCCTGAGTTAACTGTTCTCTCTTCACAGGCTGAGGCCCACCCCAGGAGCCTGACAAGACGCCCACCAGCACTCAGGTCCTGCAGCCTATAAACCAGCCCGGGGCTGCCCTGGTGCTAGGCAAACAGGGTCCCACCCAGGCGCCAGGCAGGCTGTAGGTTTTCCTCCAAAAACTCAAAAGAACCCTAACAATGTGCACGGGGCATCATACCTGTTTGACTGTCGTGCTGAACCCGTTCAGGTATTTTCTCAGCCTAGAAATGAAGTTCACAAGCCATTAGTTCTAACTGCCTGTGATCTTGCTGGTGTGCCTGTGGCCCTGGGATTCTGGGGTCCTGGCCTGGGGTCCTAGGATTCTGGGGTCCCGGCCTGGGGTACTAGGGTCCTAGGGTCCTGGAGTTCTGGGGTCCTGGCCTGGGGTCCCGGGGTTCTGGGATCCTGGGGTCATGGGGTCCCAGGCTGTCCTTACCTACCTTGTTGCTGCCATTGCACACTCTGATAATGGACACATAGTGTCTAATCTTTCTGAAAGGAGAAAACCATGCGTTATCTCTCTCCTGACTCTAATTTGATGGACATGCAATTAATTTTATTATGAAAAAAGCACATCCCTTTCACAATACAGAAAATGTGTTGAGAGCATTTCTACTTTTGTGTGGGCCAAGGTCACCAATAAATGAACAAGTCTGCAAGTATCCTATAGTGTCCTGGAGAAAATGGACTTCAATAAAACCTCAAAGCTCTCCCCAGTTGTCACAATGGACAATAAAAAATAATTTGCTTTAAAAAGCATGTTGCACGATAACCAACCAAAAGGGGCTCCTGACACCTTTTCTTCTCTGCAACCCCTTACACGAGATGCTGCCCATGGTCACTCAGGAGACAGCCACGGGCCACGTGGGGTCAGCTGAGCCTGCAGGGGCGGCAAGGGTGTGGTCGGCCACCTCTGGCTCTCATTCACTCACTGTTGTCTCACTTTCCCCTTGATAATCAAATCCCTTTGTACTTGTCAAAAAAACTGGGGGAGGACATAAAAGAGCGAAAACTCAGAACAGAGCCCCTGCGGGTCAGCTTCCCAGAGGGGATCTCCAACTGTCAGCACAGCCGGTGACAAAACACGTGAGCCATGTGGTCAGCTCACAGACCTCTCCAGGCCTCACTTTCCTCATCTGTGAAATGAGGACACACAGTGCCAAACTTATAGGCTGCCTAAGGAGAAATGCTGCGGTCATCCTGGCTCCAGAAGGAGTGGTTCTGGAAGCCACCTCTCATGACTGAAGCCCGCCTGCTTCACGGTCTGCTTCTGCCATCTAATGTCACATCTCAAGCTCTTCCTCACTGGGTAACTTTCTATGGTCGTTTGTAATGCTTATTTTTACTCTTGGCTCTTCTGGAACTCATGGTCACAATTTTCCAGTTTCCCTGTTATTCCAGTTAGGTTCTAAGAAAAACCATCCAATCCACAGTCCCGTCTTATCTAAGAATCTACACAACTGTTAGTAGAACAGTTGTCCTTTAATGTGACAGGGCTTTGCAAACACAGCTACGTGACTATAGATGAAAGCATATAAATACAAAGACCCTGCCCTGCTAGTCTGTTTTCTTAGCACACAGCTTAAAAACCTGACATTCTTTTTTTTCCCTCCAGTACTGGGGCTTGAACTCAGGGCCTACACTTGAGCCACTCCATCAGCCCTTTTCTGTGAAGGGTTTTTCAAGATAGGGTCTCACTATTTTCCCGGGCTGGCTTCAAACCACAATCCTCCTGATCGCTGCCTCCTGAGTAGCTAGGATTACAGACGTGAGCTACCAGCACCTGGCTAAAAAACCTGACGTTCTGATTTAAGTATAAGTTTCTTGTGCATCCATGAAGTTTAAAGGAGACTGTCCCAAGTCTGGTAGCCCTGGGCTGCGGCAGTAAGGAATTTGTCAAAGAAACACCACCCAGGAGGGCCATTCTGGAATGACATTTGGCCTTGCTGTAAGCAGGTCTGAGGTTCAGTAGTCAAAGCAGCTTCTGCAATAAGCCAGAACATGGAGTGCCAACTGAGGCACTTCCTGCTCCACTTACCCTCCCTGTCCAATGACAGGTATTATCTTCACATTCTGTTGTACATTATCTCCATTTTTCTTTTTGGCGTAGTAAACTCCTTGCCACTCCTATAAATGGAATGTAAACTCATTACACTTTGTGCTCACAACATACACCCAGGAACATTCTCTACTGCAGGTGCAATTCACTTACCACTGCTAAAACAATTAGGGTTAAAAACCAAAAATCCCAGTCTCAACCCCCACTGCAGGTAATCTGGCCAGAGACCTCATGTCCAAGGTCCACTTCCTCCTGGCTGCTGACTTGGGTCACATTGCCTCAGTTAAGTGGCCATGTTTTCAGCAGGCATCTGCTGGCCAGAGGAGTCCTGGGCCCAACGAATAAAGAGCCCCCTCCACCAATGCCCGTTTCTCGTCTCCTGCCCTCACCTGCTGCAGTGGAGGGTACTTGACGTCTGCCCCTGCACTTGGGACAGCAAAGCTCAGGACGGGGGCCTGGAAGCTGTTTGGTGGCCACCACCACAGTAGGCTGCCACCAGCTTCTTAGTCTGAACAGGCCCCTCTGGGATGAGGGAAGGCTTCAGTTCCTCTACAGCAGGGTGGGGACAATGCAGGACAAGAAGGAACCTCAAAGCCCAGGGCTGTGATGACATCAGTCACTCACGTCAGCCAAAGCCAGGGGGTCCTTCAAGAAAGCGGTCAGGTGAGGAGGCCGTGCAGGATAGGACTGTGGTGAGCGAGGCCTCCCCATCCCTGGGGTGATGAGGAGAGCCAGCAACGGCACTGGGCTTTACCACCATCCTCAAAGGTCCTGAATTCCCACAGGTTCTTGAACTGTGGAAATCCCCAAACCCACTACAGGACTCTGAACTCCTGGGATGCTACACAACACTCTTGACCTTCCAGAGCCCTTAGATCTCCCTAGAGCTGACCCAGGTGGAACATGGACCACCACAGAGGCTGGGCTGCAGTCTGCAGTCTCCTGTCTAGACCCCCATACAAGTTGATTCTCAAGTCTATGCCTGGGCTGTGACAACCCGCATGCAAATGCCAAGGTGACATTTTGCTTTGAGATGGCCATGGGAAAAGATCAAAAAGAAGCCAGGGTACTGCCATAAAGGCCAAGGCTAATTACCAATGCTTCCTGGCACCATTCTACAAACACTGAGCACCAAAAAAAGATGGCATCCAAATGGCAGAGACCCCAGCTCCATGCTTCACTCCCAGAGCAGGAGAGGCGCAGGCCCTACTCAGTGCAGCTGGGAGGGCAGCCCAGCCCGGAGACAGGCCTGTGTTCCAAACCAGTGAAGACTGAACAGGTTCCCCAGGCAGCAAGGTGCAGGCTGCCCTCCATATCCACAGCCCACATGATCACAGAGGTAGACAGGTCTAAGGGTTACTTCTGAATTCACTATCAAAGGTAACATAGAACATTGTGATGTCTGCACAACTATGCTAAAACCGCTGTACCCTGGACTTGAAATGAGTGAAGCATATGGTGTGAGAATTTCATCTCAATAGAGCCATTTTGTGTGTGTGTGTGTGTGTGTTTGTGTGTGTGTGAAACAGAAAAATGTAAAAGGGAATCAGGAGACCAAGCAGTCAGTACTTAGAAAACTATATTGAGGATTTCTTCTTGGGTCCTTTCTGAATATACTTGGGTGGCTGCTGGGTCCCAGGCCATAGCAGATCACGCCATAGCAGCCAAAGCTCCATCATCCACCCAAGGGAACAGGATGGTTTAGCCAGTGACGTGGCATGGGTGACAGAGTTACCAGTGGAAACAAAAAATGTCTACTTGGCATAAACCAAGTTTACTTGTCGTAAGTTTATGCAGCCTCATGTTAAGTGTTAGGCCCTGAGAGCAGTAATAGCACTGCCTTAGCACGGTGCTGACGCAAATGCTGGGTGAGGCACGTGAGTTCAGCAAAGTCCTGGTGCAGGGCGCGTCACCTGTCCTGAGGAGAGCCCCTGCATGGCAGGGAGGCCCGAGCCTCCTCTATCCAGCTGGGCTTCTATGGCTATTGATGCTGTCCCTTTTGGCACCCAATGTCTTAGGAATTAAGTCATCACCATCCAGCTGTCCTGGCCCCAGGGCCAGCATGGTGAACAATCAAAGAACACGTGGGGTTTTGTTTACTGAGTGCAGAGGGCAACTGCAGGATCTTGGCCTCTAGGCTAAGGAACCTGTTCTCCATCCTGAGGGAGTACGTGACAAAGTGGTGACTCAGTAGGACTAACAGTGCCCAGTGCAGGGTGGACTGAGTGGAGGTGGAGGATCCTGGGACAAGGAGACCTAACTGGATTCAACCACTGCCATTCCGGGGCTTAAGAGCCTTGGCCAGGTCAGGTCAGGCAGTGTGCCCTCGGAGCACTGGGCTTGATGAGGATTTGGTGCAGAACAGAGGGCAGGAGGAATCAATTCATTCCAGGGTCTAGAACAAGCAACCGTGAGTGCGGCCATCAGCAGAGGGACAGGTACTGGACGAGACACTGGGCTTTTGTTTGTGGGAGACAAGAGATCACTGTCAGACAATTTGAAGCAGGATGCTGAGGGACAAGAGCAGGGGCAAGCCAGAGTCAGGTTAACCTGGGAGGAAACAAGCAAGTTGAGCAGCAGGGGCCCCACAGAAGCTGAAGAAGATCAAATTCTGAAAAGCCTGACAGTCCTGGCTGCAGTGGACTCTGCTGCCATGGCAGGTGTCCGAGCAGCCCACCTCGTGTATGTCGGAGAACAACACAAGGGGAAAGTTTAAGATGTGTGCAACAGAGGAGACCAGGTAAGGCTGTATGACAGGGAAGTTTGGGGAACAAGAGGACACAAGGAAGCAGGAACGGGGCATCCACCCCGAGGAGCAGCGGGCAGAGGTGTGCTCATGCAAGCGTCGGCCGCACTCACTGCTTGATGGCATCAGAGCTGTTCCTTAACCCAACTTAGATTCCTCAGCACCTACAATGTGACACCTTAGTACCTGCAGCCCTGGTCCCCTGACCACTCGCTGTGTTTCCATGCTGGTCGCAACACTGGTTCCACAAACCACTGACCCCTCAACCTGCCTTCCTCCCCAGAGATGGGATCCTTTCCCCAGGAACCTGAGCGGCCTTACACTTCTTAAGAAGTAAGACTGAGGTCGGAGACACTGCAGTCACTGAACACCAGCCAGTCACAGAGGCGCTGACTCCTGGCTTACCTTGCCTATCCTGACGCATGAGTTTATGGTATCCAGCAAGTCGGCCTTTTTCTCGTTGGCTGGCACTTCTTCCAACTCCTTCCCCACTAACTCACCGGACTGGTACCCCATTGTCATTTCAAACGCAGGATTTGCATACTGGGAAGAGAGAAGAAAGAGCATCAAAGTGAACTGCAAGACTTGGCAAACAGTACACGCAAGGGTCTTCCAGCTCACCACTCGCCTTTGCCCCATTTTCCCCGAAAGCTCAGGAGCCTGGACCTCAGGCAGAACTCTAAAGCCACCTGGCAGGGAGAAGGCCCGGGGTGCTGCGCAGGTGGTTCTGTAGTGGAGCTGGGCTGCACAACCCAGGTGCTGCTCCCCTCCACACACTGCCCACCTCACCTACCCGAGCCTCCCTCTGCTCATCTGGGTAATGGGAGTGAAACGTTTACCTTGCCTCTTGTGTGATTCAAATGAGTAATGCATATGAAAAGCAGGCTATGAACTAGGAAGTGTTTACAGATATAATGCTTTATGGTTACGTTTTAAACAGGACTGTCAGCTGTGCCTGGGCTGATGAGGAAGATAAAAAAGCACTGAACTATTTATCAAGGTGTTTTCTTTGCTGGACCCTACTGCAAGCGCTTCACACAGACGACCCCACTTGGTCCTCAGAGGTGGCTGTTAGTATCTTTACCAATGGAGCCACAAGAACGCAGACTCAGCTGGATGAAGACACTTGCCCAAAGTTGCTCAGCCAAGGTAGACAGGAACCAAAGCCTGCAGCCTTAGCCACTAGTCAGGGTCACCAACTCCCCGGCACCAACTACTCTTTACTGAGGGAGTCACCAGCTTGATTAAAGTGAACTGGAGTGCCCAGCAGTACAATTGAGTGGAGCTACTTTTCAAACAGAAGGATCAGGCACAACAACTCCCTTTTGTGCTGTTATCCAAAATACAAGCCATTTTAAGTCACTTCCATCAACCCACTTTGTGACTAATGGGTGGTCTGTTACCTTACTTTTGACACTTTAGTTGTTCTCAGTAAATCTCTACAAGTTTAGCTCATCTTAGAAAACAGAAAGAAAGGTGTAGGAGAGTGAGGGAGGCTAGCACCAGTCTTCCAGGTGTGACCTGTTGAATAGCAGTCTCTTCCTGCTAAGTCAACACACAAACACACACATGCCAGTGAGAAACAGTGCACGCAAATGCGGTATTTCCATATTTTCTAGAACCACCAGTAATTATCAGCATTCTTTCTTATCCAGAAACCTTATTTTAAGTCACATATTTCACTGATGTTGTTCTTATAATCCTGCAAGGAAAACTGGTCTCCTGGATTTCAAAAAGAAAAAGAAAAACAAAATAATTGATTCAATCCTAAAAGTGAAAACAAAACAAGAAATCCAGAAGGACAAATTTAAAAAACAAACAAACCTGGATGACATGGTCCTCACTCGTAATCTCAATGGCTTCTTGGCTTTTCTCTAAAGCAGTGAATACTGAGTTACAAGCCCTTATGGGTAGGAACAAAATTAACGTAAATTAATTAATGTAAATACTATCACATCCAATATAATCCTGGGTATCACATTACCTTATTTTTTCCCTTTTATTTATATGCGCATACAATGTCTGGGTCATTTCTCCCTTACCCCTCCGCCCCCTCCCTCCCCCCCACCCCCTGGCTACCAGGCAGAAACTATTTTGCCCTTATCTCTAATTTTGTTGAAGAGAGAGTATAAGCAATAATAGGAAGTCACGTTAGCTTATTTAAGTGTGGTTTTGTCTGACTTATAAAGGTTATGTACGCTCATCCAAAAAAGGAAGGAGGGATATTAAAAAGCATAAAGATGCCCTCTGCCCCCCAGCACAGGGGTCATCACTGTGCACACTGTGGTGTCTTTCAATACAGGAGGCAGTGGCTGGAATGGTAACACGCCAGTCAAGTCGCAGCTCTTCAGAAGCTGTGAGACCCTGGCAAGTGACTGATGGCCAGAGTCTCCTCTCAGGACTGAAGAGCCCTCGTGAGGACTACATGAGTGAACAGCATCGAGAATACCACACAAAGCCTGGCAAGAGAAGGCGCCAACCCTTTGTAGCTGTTATTTTAAGTTACTTGCACAAACTTGTGGTCATCTGGCTGATTGGCTTCGTCCCCCACTTTCTCACTTCACATATCCTTAGTGTGTGAAAATGTTTAAATTATGCAAGACACAAATGTTTACTGGAAAAATTGGAAAATACAAACAATAAACATGCTAGCGTATCTCTCTCCTAGACTCGTTAGGGACAGGCCGTGACAAGTGTCAGTGAGGCCCTCTCCTGCCCTGCGTGGGGGAGTGCAATCCGTGCAGCCCCCTTTCCTGGAAAACAGTCTGGAGGTGCTGCAAATGGTTAACCATAGAATCACCACATGATCCAGCTAGTCCACTCCCAGAAATGAAGATAATGTGCACACAGATCTGCTCATAGCAACGTCAGCCATGATAGTCAACAATTACAGACAACCCAGCATCCATTGCTGAAGAACAGACAAATGCAGTGCAGTGTATGCATATGATGGAATTGTAAGGACGTAAGAATGAACTCCTGATAGATGCTGAGACACGGAAGAACCCTGAAGACATTATGCTTCAGTGACAGAAGCCAGCCACAGGGGACCACACATCGTATGATTCCCTATGTTTGAATGTCTAGAGCCAGCAAGTACAGAAAGTAGAACAGTACCCCAGGGCTAGGGTAACGAAAGTGTCCTGGAATTGCAATGGGCACATACTCTATGATAAAAGTCATTAAACTGTGCATCTTAAGTAGGTGAACTGTGTGGTGTGTGAAGTGTATCTCAACAAAGCTGTTTAAAAACAAATGACAACGAAACATCTGAAGACAGCCAGGCCTGGTGGCATATGCCTATAATCCAGATACCTGGATTAGAGGACTGAGAGTTTGAGGTCAGCCCAGGTAAAGTTAGTAGGACCCTGTTTCAAAAACACGATAAAAACAAAAGGGTTGGGGCCACTGCTCACGAAGGCAGGGGAGGACTGCAGGACGGAAGCGCAAATGGAGTTGCGTTACTTCAGAGTGGGGAGCAGACAAGAGGGAGTCGAGGCTATGGAGGAGACTGACCAGTGGATTCAGTCATTCAAAAAGGTAGTAGCTTTACACTCAGAAGAGAAGAGAAGAGAAGTGCCCAGGCCCCAGAGGGGCTCAGGAGGTGAGAGTGGGGTGAGGCGAGGGGTGTGGCGAGGGGTGGCCATGGACACAGGCAGGTGATGCTGTGCTCACTGCACCCGGGTCCAGGAAGAATGGTCTGAGGTCAGTTGGGTTTAGGTATGGGGAAAGACAATGACTATAGTCTTGCAATGTAGGTCACATCTATGGGACGGACCATCTTTGATGCTTGTGGTCTGTGGGATGTTGGATGTGAGTCAGTCAGCCTCCTTGGTTCTCAATTTCTGTATCTTGGTTAGAGAAGATTAGCTTTAACATCACCTCCTGCTCCAAAAGGCCCTCTCCCCTCCTCTCCCCTTCTCTCCTCTCCTCTGACAGGGTGGCAGCCGGACTCACCGTGGGAGTTCTGTGCCAACTCACACTTCCTGCTAGTGGTTCATTTGTATGAAGGACTTTTTTTCCTGTGTGTGGAACCCCATACTACTTCCTACTGACTTTTTTTTTTTTTTTTTTGCAGTGCTGGAGTTTGAACTCAAGGCCTTGTGCTTGCTAGTCACGCGTTCTACCACTTCAGCCACTCCGCCAGCCCCTCCCTACAGAATTTCCAATTCTGCTCCTCATTTCTCCGGCTGGGGCACATGGGAACAAATGATCCACTTCTCTCGTTGAGCCTTGGTAAAGGACATAGTCAGTAGTAGTGCACCCAAGGAAGAAACCGAGAGTGCCAGGGAGCTGCTGATTCGATTTTCCTTCTGTCAACCTCATACAATTGCTGCTTTTTCTGACTTGCTCCGTAAAGACCCAGGCTTCTACTAATTTCACTTAAAAAACAAATCTCTTTATCAAAAGCAAATTTTAAGCCAGGTCTGAAAGGCCAGCTACTCAGGAGGCAGAGATCAGGAGGATCGTGGTTTAAAGGCAGTCCTGGGGAAATAGTTGGAGAGACCCTATCTTGAACAAACCCATCACAAAAAAAGGGCTGGTGAAATGGCTCAAGTAGAAGAGTGCCTGCCTAGCAAGCATAAGGCCCTGAGTTCAAACCCCAGTAGCACCAAGAAACCAAACAAAAAAAACCCAAACCAAATCTCTTTATCAAGACCAAATTTTAATCCAGGCATGGTGGTGTATGTCTGAAATCCGGCTACTTATGAGGTGGAGGGGGTTGGATCAAGAGTTCAAGGCCAGCTAGAAAGAAGTGAGACCCTATCTCAGAGACAATATACAAATGAAAAAAAGGGCTGGGGCACGGCTCAAGCGGTAGAGGCCCTGGATTCAATCTCCAGTGCTGAAGAAAAAAAAAGCAAACTATAAAATTCTTATTGTAGAGTAGAAAAAAATATCACCTATCAACGTCAAGGTTAAGTGTATGTGCATATTTAAAGTATTTTTTTCTTAGAACACAAAATTCAGTAAGTACAGTTTTGCGTTTTCTCATTCCCCATGGGCCTCACGTTTAAGTGGGAGCCTCCTCCTGTCACTGACGAACTCCAGGTCTGAAGGAGAGACATGCCAACCCACTTCCCACCCCGGCTCACAGAGGTCAGGCCCTCCTTTGTCACCCCACCCCCCAGCACTACCTGAGCTTCAGTTGGGACCGCACCTCTCCGAACTCCAGCTGCAGCAGCTCATTGTAACAGGCCATCATGCTGGGGTTTTCTACGTATCTCTGGAGACAGAAAGGGAGACTTGTGGGTATTCAAGCTGCCTGTGCTCAATTACAATGCCAGCAAAAACAATCAGAAACAAACATCCCCCATCTGGCAACTGAAAATGTAAAAACACTTCTGATCATTAATGATGAGCAGGAGATGAGGGAGATGCAGCTATAGACTCACACACTCACACTCACACACCCAAACCCTGAACTGAGGCTCTCCTTCAGAGCCGGAAGAGCACTTTTGCTGTGTGCATATCACTGACAAGCAGAGGCTAAAATACATACAGAAGGAAATTTATCAACCCAAGTCTTATTTACATTAAGCTGACAAAGTAAATTCAGAAAGTGTTTTGTCCTCTTTAAAGGCAGACAAGCTCATGATAAGCAAAAGTACATTTGCACCCACAGCTCAGAAAGAACTCCTACTCAGGCTACAGTGCCCTACACTAACTTCCGGAGTGCCTTACACAATTATCTTCTTCCTCGAGGTACTGGCAAAAGTCGTGGATTTGCCCAGGGTCTCTTATTGCTGTGGAATTAGGTATTTTGCATAGTAATCTTTACGTAATGGAAATGCCCCACAACAAAGCCAACTGCATAGCTCTGAGGAAATGGACCCGTTCTACCATCAAATATGGTTCTCATGCAGCCCTCTTAGAAGTCACCGTGTTCTGACACATACGGTTGCCTCTGGCTATCTCCAGGGAATTAGTTCCAGCCCTCCCCTCCATCACCCCAGGAAACCAAAAGCCAGGATGCACAGCGTATATGTAACTCACCCCCTCCTTCAGATGGCCTTGTGATACCTAATACCAGGGAAATGCCATATGACAGGTGGGACGCCGACAAGAGGTGTTTACGGAATAAAGACAAGGAGGTCTGCACTGCTCAGAACAAGTGGAATTTTTTTCTGGAGTATTTTCAACTGCAGTTGGTTGAACCCGCTGTCCTGAACCATGGGTACAGAGACCTACTGCAGTTTAATTCAAATGGAAGGTTTTATGTTTACTCTCCCGTCTGCAACAAGCTCTTTGCCTTTACCTGCTCAACAAATGGATAACTGTCCTCACTGAGGAGGAAGCAGAGGCCTAGGAGGCGGAGCCTCTGCAGGCCACCGTCTATCAACCCCTGCCAGATCAATCTGGGCATGGGACCCTGAGGAAGTCCCATTTCAACAGAGGTCAAGGCTTTGTGTGGGTGTATGCCTTCAAAGCTTCCCCAGCCTGCTTCCTCCCTGTAACAAAGGAGAAGAACTGTTCTATGTACCGCACCTCAGGTCACCATGAGGACAGAGCTGGCGGGCAGTCTACCTAAACTGTGCAGGGATGTAAAGAGAGCTAGTGCCACCCCCAGGAGGAGGGCAGGACTGCTGGCCAGGGGCATGGTGGGTCCCACGCCTGCAGGCTAAAATACAGCCCTTCTGACCCCAAAGTCTGCAAAGGTCCCACCAACTGACAGAGCAGGGAGTGCTGGAGCTGCTGCCCACATGAGCCAGGACTCCCTGGAATACCTGAGAACACCCATTCATACAGGCAGCTGCTGACCAGGCCTGGGAAGGCAGCAGGGAGTGGGGACTTCTGGTCATGGCACTCACACTGCGCCAGCAGATAAGGCGTGGGGCTGTGAAGCAGCTCTGCAGCTGCTCTGCAGGTGGTGCCTTGGGATGGGCATGTCCATTTATCCATTTCAATAGATGGCCTCCCATGAACCGATTCCTCATTAAGTATGAACATTACATACCCACCAGCCTTTTTACCCCAGGTTAAAGAAAAAGACACATACGACCATGCTCACAGCGTCTTACTCCCACTGTCTCCCGCCATCTGCTCGGCTCTGAGTCTCAACAGCTCACCTGTCCTGCCTATGGGGCCCACAGGGCAGAGTGAGTAGAGTAGCCCAGGGATCCCTGGAAAGGGGCTGCCTTTCCCTCTGCTTAGACAGCAGCTCGTCTCCACTCCCCGAACCCATCCCAGAAGCAGGGCTGGGGCTACAAATCCTGTGGCCTTCCTGGCTGACTCAACTTCCCTTTCCCCAAGGCGTATCCTACCTGCTGCTAGGACTTACCCCACCCTGTGGGCCCAGCTCAGTGGTTCTCAACCCTGCTGTGATTTAGAATTTCCTGTACCTGGAACATCAGCACCAATGTGTGGGCCTCTCCCCGGACTGTGGGGACGCCCTCAGGGAATTCTAAGGCACACTCAGCAGTGAGACACCAAACCCAACCCGAGACTTAGTCAGCAAATGCTCAACTGCCACGTCCACTTGAGTAGGCAAATCCACCAAACAGCCGACAGCCCGGAACTCGAGAGTTCTCAGGACCACGTAAGTTTTTGTGTACGCCTCAGCCCACTGCCTTCGAGCCAGGAGACCTGGGAGAACCCCCTTCTTCTGCACCGCTGCTTTGAGCAACCTGCATGCGTGCATGCGTGTGTGTTGGGGGGGGTGTACACACAGGAGGGGAGGCGATGTGTGGAGGGTGTGTAGCAGGGCCTTGTTCACCATTTCATCTTTCATCTCCTTCACCTGGAAGCTTCTGTTCTGTATGGTTGGAGTCCTTTTCTCAATCTCAATGATTTTCCTCAGAGACGGCTCTTGGGAACACGGGTCTCTGAATTTTTTGTACAGCCCTTTCTCTTGCCCTGAAGGTAATAACTTGGCTGGGAGTGTGACTGGTGGGCTTTCCAGCCCTTTCCCTGTAATCCCTCCTCGCATGAGACATCACCATTGCTGCTTTACCCAGCTGCGTGCTCCTGTTTCCCCACATTCCTTCTCTTCGCCCTTCATTTCTGCACTTCACCGTCTCCTGGGACCTGCACACTTTCTGGTTGAAGTGCATCCTTTAGAATGTCCTTGTGAGGATCTGCTAGTGTGGATTCTGCTTGCCTTTCTCTGGAAGTCTTTATTTCACCCTTGTATTGGAGAGATATGCAGGCTGGCAATAACTTTCTTTCCTTCATCACAGTGATAATGCCACCTGTCAATTCTATTTTCCACTTGCTGATGAGAAGCTGCTGTGAGCCTGTCCTTTTCAAGGTAACACTTTGTTCCTTTGGCTAATTTTTTTTTTTTGAGTTCTGAAGGTTGAACTCAGGGCCTCGCCCCTGCTAGGCAGGCCCCCTACCACTTGAGCCATTCTACCAGCCCTTTTTGCGTTGGCTATTTTTGAAACAGGGTCTTGCTTTTATGCTTGGACTGGCCTGGAACCATGGTCCTCCCTAGCTCAGCCTCCCATGTAGCTAGGATGACAGGCGTGCCTCACCGCACCCAGCCATTGCTTGAGAATCTCTACCTCACAAGTAGCTAGGATTATAGACGTGAGCCATTGCACCCGGCCTCTCTGGCAGATTTTCAGATCTCTCTCTTTGGTTCTGTTTTGTTGGCAGTTTCTTTATGGCATGTCCTCTTGTTTAGTGCACTCTCCTTGAACTTGGATCTTCCAATCTGTGGATGTTTCATCAACGTTGGAAATTCTCAGCCATTCACTCTTCAAACTTTCTCTCTGCCCTATTCTTCCTCCACTTCTCATGGACGTCCACTCTATCCTCCACATTCCTTTGCCTCTGTAGTTTATTTCCGGTCATTGTATCTCTGCTACACGCTGGATTGCTTCTAACCTACCGTCTAAGTTTAATTTTTTTCAGTTACTGTGTTTTCACTTCTCAAAATTCTGTTTGCCTCTGAGGCCAAAGTGGAAGAAGTGTCCTCTGGGAGGACATGTGTGTACTTCTGCATTGCTCAGGAGTACCGCGTGCGCTCCTCTGCAGTCATGGCTCGGGGTTGCTGGCGCACCTCCCTGTCCAGGATCAGCCTGCTGAAGTCTCTCCATCATGATTTCCAGGTCCCACTTTGTCCTTTTGAGACAGAGTCTCACTGTGCACCCCTGGCCAGGACTCTGAGACCCTGTGGCCTCTCACTCACAACCAGCTCACCAAACCCTCAGTGGCCTTTTGGTTTAGGAGAAACCAACTAATAAGAGGTGAGGGTACAGAAAAGGGAGCTCTGGTTAGGTTGCTTCATTTCCAAAATCCATCAGCTGGCTTTAAAAATTGCATGGATAGCCAGGTAACAGTGATTCAGGTAAACCCAGATACTCAGAAGGTGAAGATCAGGAAAATTGGAGTTTGACGCCAGCCTGGGTAAAAAATTAGTAAGACCCCATCTCAATCAATAAGCTTGGTGTGATGGTGTGTGTCTGTCATCCCAGCTATATGGGAGACTACAGGTAGGAGGAGCACGGTCTGGGCAAAAATGTAAGACCTAATCTGAAAAATGACTAAAGCAAAAAGGGCTAGTGGTGTGGCTCAAGTGGTAGAGCGCCTGCCTAACAAGTGCGTGGCCCTGACTTCAAAACACAGTATTGCAAAAAAAAAGATTGCATGCACATATGTAAGCATTACAACACGTTCTAAGGCGGAACGTAGGGGATTTTATTATGCTTATATGACTTTAGCAGGCATAGCTTTGAGAGGCTAAGGAACTATATGTTACAGATTATCAGATTATAAAGTTAAACCAAACTGTGACACAGCTTAAGGACAATTCTTTTCTTCAAATTAATTCAAACTTTTGCATGGCATTGAGCTGAAGTAAAGCAATTCCTCCCACTGACTTAGGACGGCATAACAAAGCAGCAGTACGTACCCTCGTAAAGCCGGCAGCAATGAAGGGCCGTACAGACGGCTCCTCTCTGTCTGTCCTAGGAAAGAACACAGCAGGGTTAGCCACATCTCAGCTCCGTGTCACTCCTTCACCACTCACCATATGCCCAACGCTTTGTCACCTAGCAAGCACTTAGAGATGAGTTAGACACAGGAGTACGAAGGTGAAAACCACTTCCCCTCCCACTTTCTCATCTAGCTTTTGGGCTGGACAGTATCAGAACTTTTTTTTGAGACAGGGTCTCTCTCATGTGCTGACTTGAACTCCTGATTTAAGTGATCCTCCTGCCTAGCCTCCTGAGCACTGGACAGCAGGTGTGGGCCACTGCACCTGTTCTTTTAATACTTGAAAAACAGAGGTTACGTTAACAGCTGGAATAGAGCAGTGCCTATGTATCTACTTATGTAAAAACCTTACATTAAATTCTCTATTTTCTTCTATGGCCAGTTTATTTACTTATTTATTTTTTAAATCCCTTCTCCCCTACAGTTCAGGGAGAAAGGTGAAACGACTTCTATCTCTAAATATACACACCTAATTAGCATTTATGTGTGCACTGCCCACCTCCTTACTTATCTCCCTTTTCCCCTTACTCCAGTTTAAGGATGAAATTCCCCATTTATGTACCATTCAAATCCTCACAGCCATCTGGGGTTACCTTTGCAATTTTAGTGGGGGACCGGTTTAAGGCTTGCCTGCTTCCCAAGTGACGGGAGGTCATGATGAGAAAGCTTGGCTGGGAACAGGGCAAAGTAAAACAGGAAAGAATAAAAAGAAAAGGGCAGGCTCTGAGGGGCTCGCCTGCTGCCCAGCCGGCCTTATTCAGCCCTGCCCCCGCCCCCGTCAAGGGCAATCATTATAATGGCACCTTAATTTCAATGTGAAAAAAAAAAAGTTTACCTGCATACTACACCAACAATAACCGTGTTTTCTGAGAGTTTTGATGATCTGATAGACCTTAAAAAACAAAGAATTTTTAGATAAATATAAAAATAATTCTTAAAAATAAATAAACTTTCCCAATTTCGGCAGTACAGTGAAAGCTGGGGAGAGAAACACGGGAGAGGAAGAGATCCTTCATATGCTGGTTTCTCTGTTGCTCCTGATCCTTCTCTTTGGGGGCAAACTTGTTCGTGGCCTGTGATGACCACGCAACCAATGTCTGAACAGTCCATTCACCACAATGCAGGGCATTCCACTTGTTCTGTCTTTGCTAACCTGGGGTGTTTAGAGTGGAGAGTTTCCCTGCCCTGGGCACATAGGAGATGGCTGCAGTTTTCTGTCCCTTCCTGCTGAAGAGGAGTTCAAGTTCATATGCACTGCCACAGGCTGATGGCTGTGCAGACTGTGAAGCTGGGGGACCTCAAGGGCCAGCTCTGCACTGTACTGCAAACAGCACAAAGAGGAAGAGCCCCGAGGGGGAATGGAGGCAATCACCATCACCACTACCCCAAAGCCAGTAAGCTAATGGGACCAGGCCTTTACAAGTCTTCACACAGCCTGTTGCTGCAGAGGACAAAGCCCTCACAAGCAACACACCCTGCCACCCAACTTGGATGTCCCAGTCCCCAGAACAGCGAGAAAATAATTTCTGTTCTTCATAAATTTCCTAGTTGCAAGTTTTATGTTATAGCAGCACAAAACAAAGATGCCTTCGACTGGAGCACTGCTTCCTCAGAGGCAAGAACCATGTGCGACGCATCTACACGGCTCCAGCACTAAGTGCAGTACCCAGGACTGAGATATACGAAGTAGGGCTCCGCACTGGTAGACTTGGAAACACAGCAGACAGGACACTGGCCCTCAGGCAAGGCATCTCAGGAGCGTGAGGGCAACAAGTGCCCCAGCAGATATGCGGGTAAATCTGGTCACTGGGCAGGTCCACAACTGATGGAAACTCTTCACAGTGGTGACTAGGGTCCCAGAGGAAGGAAGGAGGCAAAGACATGCTCCGTCAGGGCTGAGGGCTCATGGACTGTATAGGTCTGCTAGAGAGAGAGCCAACCAGCTTGGGGAGGGTGTGTGAAGAGGGCTCTTGAAAAAAGTACACAGAGGGCAGACACCCTTCTAGGGATGGGAACAACCAAAATCAGAAGAACAGACTTAGGAAAGTAAGTTAGGGCTTGTCCTTGCCTGTAGAAAACTCCAATAAGACAAAGACAGTGAGGTAGAAAGGAACTAGCAAGGCAGACCTGAGCTCTGAGACTGTTGGCCAGGGCTATGATGTGACATCGGGAAAAGAATGTGCTTGAGGGGCTGCATTTGTCGGGTCTGCTCTCTGGGGAGCTGGGGAGAGCGTTCTGTTGGCTCTCTCCAAGGGTCCACCTGAACCCGGCAGGAGCTTTTGCTTTCAGAGCCCTGGGCTCTGAGCCCCTTTGGCGGGGTTGGAGAGTGATCTGCAAGGATGTGCTCAGTTCAGCAAGAGAAGACACCTTTCCACAACTCCTGTTCTCAGATGTTGGAATTTACTCTGGAGAAGGGGACAGACATGTTCTAGCAACCTAAATATGGGCAAAGTTGGGCTCGACAAGAAGGACTTCAAAAACCAGGACTTCCCTGGGAACCTCAGGTCCCCAGCAGAGGCTGATGGAGGGACGTGGCACTGTGACAGAGACACTCTGACAGAGTGCACCTGACACTCTATACTTTCCAAAGCTACGTCAAGAAGACGGCCATTCTTCACTTAAAAGTTGTACAGTGGTCATTTACACGATGAGCGCTCCGGTTCACTTCAATGCTCTGAAGCGGGCTTTGTGGGTTTTTCACTGCAGAGTGTGTGTAGCGTTACTTTCTACATTTAAATACTTGACCCCACTGGTCTAAGAGCTTCTAAAAGACAAGAATTTCAGCTTATTTACTGTTGGTCTTGAAAATTCCCTTTTACAGGGGTCACTAAAAGTTTGTGGAATGAATTAACTCTACTTGCTTAGAATATTCCTGAAATGTCTAACAACAGTGCATTTTCTTCCCTTTGAAAGCAGAGCATAACTTTGTTATGTGTATTTTATCATTAATAAAAATAAACGTGGAACATGACTGACAGAGCTTCAGTTTTCTTTCATCGTGCAAGGGGAGTATGAGTTTCCAGCATATACCCGTGCAGGCTCGGGTCTGGAAGAGACTGGGGAAGAGGCCAGGCTCTCCCCTCTTAGCATCTCCTCTGAGCCTGGCCTCACTTCCTCCGCTGGCAACACCCACCAAGACTGGGTATTTATTTACATACTCAAGCATCACACAACTTACATGCTTTCTTCCCTTCTTCTGAGCAACGTCTGTCAAATGTTAGGGACAGAAGGGGACCTGGAAACCAAGTGTTCTAAGTTCACGGGCGAGGTAAGACACGCCCAGAGAAGGCAGAGTGATGCAGAACCATGCTGGTGGTGAGGGGAAGACCTGAGCTAGGATGGGCCTCCCTCTGCTTTGGCCAGGGCTCTCTCATTCCTCTTGGTCCTTAATCCCTGATGGCATGTTAGGTGACCAGTCAGATGGCAAGTCCAACAATCTAGGCTGTGGTGAGATGGCTTACTGCAGAGGAGACCAAAATATTCAAGCAAGGAACACAGGGAGGTGGAAGCTGCCTGGTCTGGCTACCAGAAATGTGTGTTCCCGCCACCTAGAAACGAGTAGCGTTAAAACCACCCAGTACCCTGCCCACAGTCTCCCCACGAATCTTTTGACAAGTCTGTTACCTCCCTTTTTAACCCGTGTTATGTTTGGCTTAAATCTTTTCCATTAAAGGCAAGAGTTTCAACAAGCTTAAGATGACCATGCTGTGGACTTTTACACTGTGTCATGGGTATGTTTTTATGTACTGACTTCACATAAATGGATCCAGAACTTAAAAGTTTAATAAACGTGCATTTTACTTCCCCTTGCATCATCAGCAAAAGTAATTTTAATTGTAAAAAGCACTTTTTATGCCTGCAACCAAGAACCGTCTCTTCATATTCTGTATTATGATAAGCAAGGCACATTCGTCCAACATGGAGAGGCAATATGGAAGAAGTGAGGCCCCGGGTTCAAACCACAGTACTGCCTTAAAAGAAAGAAAAAAGGGCAAATGAGATTTTAAGTTTTTTTCAAACAATCTGGAAAATTGTTAATAATTCTTGTTGCAGTGACATGCAGATGATAGTTGTGATTAATTAAATGTGGGGTTTCATCTTAACCCTTAATGTTTACCATTCGTATTTTTTTACTGCTCTTTTGTTTTGTGGCAGTGCCAGGGCTTTTATATGTGCTAGGCCATTTTGCACTGCTTTAACCAAAGCAAAGCAGGGCAAAACAAAAGGGATAAAGATTATTCTCAGAAACAATGAGGCTCTGATGCCCTGCTCATTTTACATACAGGGACAGGAAGACTGAGCTGAAACTCCTGTGTTCCAGCTGTGTTTCTTATCAGCAGCACCACATCCAGCTCACCTGCCCGCTCACCTGCCTGGCTCACCTGCACAGTGCCTCCGCGTCCAGCCGCCGGGGGTTTCTGTGGTCAATGATGATGATGTCATGGTGTTTGTCCAGGAAGCAGGACAGCACAGTCTGTGCCTCCTTGACGACTGTGCACTTGAACCCGGCTTTCTCACATGCCCTCCAGAACCCATTACACTGGTTGTCTTCTTTGGTAAACACTAAAAGTACCTGAGTCAAACAAGCACACACACTTTAAAAGATGCGCTTAGAAATGTCATTTTTAGATAAGCCACAGAAAACTCCCAAGTGTTTAAAACAAAGACACAGATGTGAACCCAGCATCTGTCAGTGCAAATCCTTCTCTTCCACATGACTCAGAGCGCTGCCTCCTTTCTATTTTCCTTCTGCTCTTCGCCTGCAGGTGCAGGAGTCTGGACTGTACACTTACTCCATTTGCTTAAAAGCCCACTGGCACAGCCCAGCTCCACAGAGCATTTCATGTCAAACCTGGGTGAAAGCTCACAAGTATTTAACGTAGAAAGTTAGCTGGGTATGCCCACCATGGTACATTAATATTGCAGCGAGCCTACTGAACATAAGTCCTATGTAACACAGTTACATGTTTCACTCAGGATTTTATGTAATTCTTCCAACTTAAAAAATCACTTTGAATAAAGAGGGAAGGTTTGAAGTAGATCAGGGTTTTTTTTAGTTTTTGTTTTGTGATCTGGGAGTTAAACCCAGGGTTTTGTAAATTCTAGGTGAGCACTCTATTTGTGGGTTTTTTTGAGACAGCATCTTACTATGTAGTTCAGGTTGACCTCAAACTCCAGATCTTCCTGCCACTGCCTCTGGAGTGCTGGGATTATAGGCATGTACCACCATGCTTAGCTAAAATGTCACATTTCAAAGGCTGTCAGTTAAGTGACACAGGAACAGCGTCAGATGCAAGAGACAGCATCTATGTCAATGGCTGGCTGGCCTGGTGCCTGGTCTGGATCAGGCGAGGCCTGGCTCTGCTGCCTTTTTCCTATCCAGCCAGGCTCCTCAGCCAAAGTTCAGGCATTCTGCTCTGAGTCACAGCCAGACTCAGCATGAGCAAGAGCAGCTGGATGGGGATAGAGCAGCCTGTGGAACACCAACTAGAAGTGGCAGTGCCTCCTCCTCGAGGCTGACCTCCTAAGTGCAAGGAGCCACGACCACGGCCTGCCTGCAGCCTCCCACACGTGTCCAGGTGCAAGCCCATGTTTCCATTGCTGCTGTCTCTCCCGTGCTTCGGACTAGACAAATCCTTGCCGTTTTCTACAACTGACTCAGCGACACGGACAAGTGGCTTTCCTTTTTATTGTGGAAACCTGCAAACCTACAGAACACCTATGGGCATGAGACACTCTTCCTGTGGGGACAATGAGTGTGAGACACTCTTCCTTGAGGCTCCTCAGTTCCATCTGCTGGCCTTTGCTTTGCTTTCTCCCTACACACGCACGTGCACACACAATTCTATGCTTTTGCTTCTTTACTGCAACCGTGTGGGATGCAGACAGGTGTTTAGCCCTAAAGGAAAAGGAGCATCTCTTATGTAGCTATAAGCCCCGTTACTGTCAAGTTCAGGAACTTCAACGCAGATTCAACAACACTGCCTAAGACAGGAGAGTTCATGTGCCTAAGTTTCACCCGCCCCTTGCAAGAACAGCAGACGTGAGCGTCACGGTGCGCCAGTACCTGAAGCTGATCCTGGTGAAATCTCATGGGGCCAAACTGCACATCCGGTACCGCAACCTGCAAGAAAGAGATTTGCTGAGAGCGAGAGAGAAGAGAGAGAGGGAGAGAGAAGGGGGAGTCTTGCTTCTACTTCTCTCTCTAGTCAGCACCACAGATGCAAGTAGAATATCCACTCTAGAAAAAAGTTCCACAAAGTAAAAGAGAAATCCTTAATCTCCTTAGAACCCAGAGAAGTGGAGCAGGAGAGCAGGGCCAGCATAGCTGATGCCAGCTGTGTGCCACAGTAAGAGAATCACCCCACCTTCCTCAGCCTCAGTTCATTTGTCACAGGTCAAGTGAACTTACGATGTACAGGCTCCAAACTGCTCCCCTCCAAGCCTATTCCCATCTGTCTCCTGATGGACAAGGGACTCTTACACCCAAAATGGCTCATGAAAAACACGATCCAGCAGCCAGAACCATACCATGGGGTGTCAGTCAAAGACACCCCTGGGAAATATTGATCGTTCTTTATAAAGCAGCTTAGCAGCACTGATCAGTAAGCATTTATCCACAGAGAAGTTGACACTCACACACAACGTCACCCCAACTCCAGGGAGCAGCAGTAACCCTACCACCGTCACAGGGCTTAGCTCAGTCTACCCACTGTGCTAAGGGCTAATGAAGACGGTGCTCTCACTAAATCCTCGTAGCAGTGGGGGAAGCTGAGGTACCAAGGATGTTATGTAAAGCCACACAGCTGGGAAGTGGCATCGCTGGGATCCCAGGCCCAGTTTGTTCAGCTCCACATTCTGTGCTGCCAACCATGGCCACTGGAAGGTTTGATGTCTGTCCTCCACACACAGGAGCCCAAAGGAGGGAGGAGGGGCCACACCCCACGAGGTAAACTCTCAGTCAGACTGGACCCCTTCCTGAGGCTTTGCATGTGTTGTAGAGTCCTCCACCCTTGCCCTCCGCGTGATGGTGTGGTTAGATCCAGAAGACTTCCCATCAGATATTCCTGGATGGCTCTCCTCAAGAAATCAGCTGCAGGAAACACAATGTCCAGCCAACTGTCCTAAGGACAACTTTGATTTGTGTAAACACAAATGTAAACAGGTCTGCCTGGTGACGAGGGAAGCCCGCATAGTCCAACTATGGGCCACTGGCTGAGTTTCTGACGTGCCTTGTAGTGATTTGTCTCTCAGAAGGCACGGGACAGTGAGGGTCACTGTTACTTCTGGCCTGAGGCTGAGGAGGATTCTTGGGACACGTGGAGGGATAAGGAAAACAGACAGCACAGTACTGAGAAGGAGAGTTGGATGCAAAGTCAGGATTTCTGAAGGAATATGATCTGAGAGGCCCAGGTCAGCCTCAAAAGACAGATCTTCGGGAAGACAGCAGAGTGAGAAACCCAGGAGTCTCTTCACCTACACAACACGCAGGGCAGAAGGTGTCTGCTGTAAGGATTTTGGGAACTCCTAAGTCTTGCAACTTCTAGAGGAAGAAGTAGACAGCAAAACTGTAGTTAATTTTAGTCAATTCCAGCTCTCAGCACAGAGCAGCCCCAGCTCAAGCCCCATCGCAGCAGCTGAGCACGTGCTCCTGGGGCACACTGTGTCATAGATGCCTGTTCTCCTTATCCTTTGTGAACAAAGGATGGGTTTCACAGATGCTCCTTTCAAGAAGGGTGTCTTTCCCTAAGACAAAATGCTTTTATCTTTAAAGGCTTCTGTGATCAAAGGTGTCACTTTACCAAACATCTTCTTCCCAGGATCAGTGTCTGTGAGGTATTCATGCTTACTGCCCAGAGCACAGTAGTCACTTGGGTAAGTGACAAGGTCGGAGGGAAAGGACTACTTTTCTTACTGTCTGTTGCAGCTCAGGGAGGGAGTATGCAGCTTAAAGCAAAGAAAGTAGTGCTGTGGGATTTTAATAGTGCTTAGCTCTGACTTCCTGGCTCCCGCTTCCCATGCCTCATTTTCCTAATCCATCTTCCTCATTTCAACATAATGAAAATCAGAAAATGCCATATACCACAGTAACAGAAGGAAGTTTTCCAGTATGATAATCTCAATCGATACAGAAAAAGCATGTGACCAAACTCTAAATGAATATGCCTTCATGACAAAGACACTCAGCAAACTAGTAATAGAAGGGAATTACCTCAACATAATCAAAGTCACACATGAAAGCCCAGAACAAACCTGGGGCCCAGTAGTGAAAGACTGAAAGCTTTTTCCTCTAAGATCAAGAACAAGAAACCTGTTTCACCACTTTTGCTCAGCATAGTACTTGACAGTCTAGCCACAGCAACTGGGCAAGAAAAATAAATGAGGCATCCAAAATGAGAAAGGAGGAGTAAATTATCTTTGTCCAAAGGTAATATAATCTTACATGCAGAAAACTCTAAGGAGTCCACAAACTGTTACAACTAATAACTGATTCCAGCAAGACAGGATACAAACCAACAACACAAAAGTAAACACATGCTAACACATGAACAAGATGAATAGGAAATCCCTTAAAAACTCCATTTAACAGGACCACAAAGAATACGATGCCTGACACAAGTAGACAGAAATACACCCCATGTTTATGGAACAGAGACTTGACATTGTTCAGACGCCAATACTACCCAAAGCAGTCTGCACACTCAGTGAATCCTTATTTTGAAAACTTCCAATGATGTTTCTTTTGCAGAAAGAGAAAAATCTATCCCAGAATTCACATGGAAATTCAAGTGTCTCAGTTATTTTTGTGTTGCTGTGATGAAATACCTGACATAAACAACTTAAAGGAGAGAAAAGTTTATTTTGGTTCACAGTTTCAGAAAGTTCAGTCCATAGCTGGTGAGCCCCATTCTCTTGGGCAGAACCTCAGAGCATGGCGACTGGAATGTGTGATGGAGGAGAGTCATTCACTTCATGGTGGATGGGAAGGGAGGGGGAAAAGAGAGAGGAGGGCAGGGATTCACCCCCAGTGACCTACTTTCTTCAGCTAGGTCCCACCTCTTAAAGTTTCCAGAACCTCCCAAAATAGCAGCACCAGCTTGGGACCAAGTTCCCAACACATGAGCCTTTGGGAAAAGGGAAACTTTATATCCAAACCATAAAATCAAAGGATCCAAAATAGCTAAACCAATCTTGAAAAAGAATAAAACTGGAAGACTCTCACTTCTTGATTACAAAACTCGCTGCAAAGCTACAATAACCTGAAAATGTGACAACGGTATAGACATACAGACCAACAGAACTGAATGGAGAACCCAAAATTAATTCTTGAATATGTGGTCAAATTTTAACAAGGTGCCAGGACCATTTAACAGGGAAAAGAATACTCTTTTTAACAAACAGTGCTGGGAAAACTGGGTATTCACCTCCAAAGAATGAACCTGGATGCTTACCTAACACCATAGTCAAAAATTAACTTAAAATGGTGTAAGACCTGAAAGATAAAAACTTTTCCAAGAACACTTGGGGCAAAGGGTTCTCAATGTGGATTTGGCAGTCATGTTTTAGCTGACAGTACGACAAGGAAGCAAAAGAAAATGAAAGACTAATGAAACGTCATCAAAACTCAAATTTTTAGGCATCAAAAGACAGCATCAACAGAGTGAAAAGGCAACCCACAGAATGGGAGACAATTTTTCCAAATCATATATCCAATAAGGGATTAATATGCAGATCATTTAGAGAATTCCTACAACTCAACAGACAACCTTGTTCATAAACAGAGGAGAAACAGACATTTCTCCAAAGAAGATGTATGAATGGCCAGTACGCACATGAAGAGATAGTCAATGTTACCAGTCATTAAAGAAATGCAAATCAAAGCCACAATGTGACACCACCTTGCCTTCATTGGGATGGCTACTATTAAAACAAAAACCAAAAATAAGTGTTGACGATGATGTGGTAAGCATGGGCCCTTGCACACTGTTGACAGAAATACAAAATGGTGCAGCCACTGTGGAAAATGGTATGGTGATTCTGTTAATGGCGCTGGTGCAGTCTGATCAGACTTCCAAATTCTTTGTCCCATGGGGAAGAATCCATGGCAGGACACGTGGGTGTAAATGGAGTTAGGGAAGAGAAATACAAAAGGGAGCATGGTGGGCCCAGGTGGGATCTGGAGGCCTTTCTTCCCCAGGAGCTTTCAAAATTTAGGCTAATCCATGGGAAGTGGGAACCAGGTGATTCCCATCCATAATCACTGAGGGGGAGGGGCATGGCGGTCCTTGGCCAGGTGAGGGTGGTGCCTAAGCCACGGGATGGTCAATCTGAAATGCAGTATTTTTGTGAGTCCCAAACTTTCCCTAACTCTAGCCTGCCTCAATTCCACAAAAAAAAAAAAAAAAAAAAAGAAAAAAAAAGAAAAGAAAATTTTTAAGTAGAATTACTATATGAAGCAGCAGTTCCACTCCTGGGAACATGCCCAAAACAACTGAAAGCAGCAACTGAGGCAGGTGCTTGTGCCCCTGTCTGTAGCAGAATCAGTCACAGTTGCTGAAACGCAGAGGGGGCCCAAGTGTCCAGCAACCAAGGAATGGACATGAGAAATGAGGTCCACCTGCAACGCCATGCTACTCAGCCCTTCAGAGGAAGAAAGTCTGACAAAGCTGCAACACAGGTGGACCTTGAAGCTACACAGGCCGTCACAAGAAGACAAACTCTGTGTGCGTACACTTCTACAAGGTACTTAAGGGCAGTAAAAATCAGAAACACAGTAGAAAGGGGTGGCCTGGGGCTGGGGGAGAGGGGAACTGGGAAGTCAGCGCTTATGGGGATGGAGACTTCATCTTACAAGATGGAGGGACTTTTGGAGGTGGAGGAAGAGATGATCGCACGATATGAATTTTACTTAATGGCACTGACCTAGACACCTAAGATGGTTAACGTAGCAAATTGTCATGTGTGTCGTGCCACATTTTAAAAAGTCAGGGACAGGAGGAACAAGGGAGGGAGGAAGAGAAGGAGGTATGTATTATCTTCTGAGCTGGGCTGGAGGGACCCCCTCTGCCGGGGCACTTGGCCCAGCACAGCCAATGTAAACCATAGCCTTTCTTGTGAGCACCA